GAAATACTGAAGCTCGAAAAAGTCCAACGCATCTTCACACGTATGGCTCTTTTTCGTAAACTCCAAATTATTTCAAGAAAAGATATTCCTGCATATGATAGACGTCTTAAAATGATGGGTTTAAAGCCTCTTTTGAACAGAAGAATCATTTCTGATCTGGTTTTTTGTTTTCGGATATTAAGGAAGGAAATTGATCTGAGAGCTAGCAGCTTCTGGATCTTTAGACCAGTAAGCTCTAGGCTGGGAGGATTCAATCTCCACTATCCCAGATTGAACAAAAAATTCTATTCCGGTCTTTTTAATTCGTTGTTTTATCGATGTGCCCGTTGGTTAAATCGATTACCTACTGAACTTTTGTCATCAAAAAATGGGTGGGTATTCAAAAAGGGTCTGCAAAAGATGGAAATCTCTGAGGTTCTGAACTGTAATTCTTATCTTTGTTGATTTTCACTCTGTTTGATTCAGGTCATGAAGGTCGACAAGTAATCTCGATATTCGCAAGTTGCCTTATCTTAGTCTTTCTTCATTTTTGTATTAGTGTTCTGTTTATCTCGATATTGTTTTTTTTTCAGGTCGTCGTGCTAGTTCTGGCGTGATTTCGAGCTTTGTGTTACTACAAAATTTTTATATCGCTTTCCAAACTGAGTTTACGGACTATGAAGCTCATCTTTCCTGCCATTTATCCTCAATTTTTCTGCCTCTTATTAGAATGAGTGTACATCTATGGTACCATTCATCTCTGTAGTAGTTCTTTCTGACCATGTTTATATTTGCTAACCGTGAACCAACCAGTCTTATCAACAAGGGGTTTTCTGATGGTGTTGTATCACAGCTACCTAGCCCCATGCCCTGCCACTTCTCCTTGAAAAGTTTATCTAGATGTTCAATAGATCTTGCTCCCCTCTAAAATAGATCTTTACTTCTTTACTGGGGGCCAGTCAGCTAGCTTTACCCGCAGGCTCGCTGACACTCAATGACGGGTGGGCCACAATAATTTTAGAGTGAGCAAGATTTTGATTCTATACAGTCTATAAAGGTCGTTCGCAGCTTGACTCTTTTAGTTGATTGAACGTCTTGGTAGGCCTGGGGAATGGGCTCTTTAATCCTGTTTCTCTATTTCTCTATTTTTTTTTTAACTCCTGCGATTGAGACTGGCTGGATTCTCGTCTCGTTCATAGTTGCTTTGTCTATTTCTTCTTTTTCTCATTTAGGCGCACCATGAGTATACTGCCTGACACCGCAGGACGGTTATTTTTTGGTACATCAACCTCTTTAATTGGAATTCTTGGCATGTAAAAGTAGTGTTACAGAATTTCGAGATATAAGCTCAATATCCCGTGACGTTCTCCGCAACGAAGTCAATGCAGCCGAACCTTTCCAGCCTTATCTATAAGGAAGGATAGCCTTGCTCCGATCCAGCTGTAAATTTTGCCCCTTCGAGCAAAATCGTAAGGACCACGAGCTGCTACCGTCGCATCCCCTTTTTCAAGCAGGACCGATGGTGGCTTGCTCCCTTGCGAAAAGTGCCTGTAGCCACGGCACGACAGCCTGGCGCGACCGCAACGCGCTTCGCTTTCCATCCAAGCGCAAGCAGCACGATTTCGGAAAAGAAGACTGTCACCGGCATCTACAACTCACAACTACCTCGCTTCAATATCCCGGCTCTATGTAGTTCCAGCAAACAATCTCATCCATCACAAGAAATAATTTTTGTTTTGTATTTTTTGGAAATCTCTCAGTACTCTCCTTCAGCTTCCATTGGTGTTATGTACGAACCATTTAGAATTGTCCGAGACCTCATTAATGACCTCACTTCTTTTGAATCTGGGAAGGGAAGCGGTACGTACTGCTCTTTAGAGCGTACTGCCAGTTGATAGAAAGCCATTCAAAAATCCAAAAAAAAATTAATAAGAAAACACAAAAAAAACGATCTTCGCGCCATGTATAGTTCGGACATGTGTACTCTTGTATAGGTCACCGCATACCGCGCCGACAACCTTATACCCCAGCCCAACTGAAAAAAAAAACTTTTAGAAATTTTCTATCTGTAGTTGTCTAACAAGGAAACGATACTCGGTGTCCGTGGCCTTTTGAGATGAGCTATATACCATGACACTCGTCTTGGGACGCTGATTCCGAATCTGATTTCCGTTTCTGCTAATCGCTTCAAAGATGTTATAAAGGATTGTGCGGGCTTCGGCTGCCCACTGAAATACGTTTGGAGCGTCATTAGTAACTATGCGGTGTGGTCTAGCGGTTAGTGCGATAGGCTCATGAGTTGATGCAGGTGTAGGTTCGAATCTCCTTGTGTTTTCCAGTTTTGCATTGCCACAATAAACCTTCTTTCGCATCTTCGAGCTAACTGAACGCCCTTGCTCTTCGAAAAATGTGGGAATTTGGAAAAAATGACTATTATTTGAGCTAAAATGTATCCAATGATCATAATTCGAGTAAATCTCGAACAAGTTTGATCGAGGCAGTGCAAAATAAAAACACAAAAGGATGGACCTACACCTGCATCAAGTTATGAAGCTATCACACTAGCCACTAGACAATAACGTGGCGCCGGTAGAGGCCATTTTGGTGACCATACCCTTAGGCGGCCAAAGTTGGCTCGAAATTCCTCCATAGCTTCTTGCAGAGAAACGATTAGCAGAAACGGAAGTCAGATTCGGAATCAGCGTTCGAAGGCGAGTGTAATGGTATATATCCCGTCTCAAAGGGCCACGGACATTGAGTATCGTTCCCTTGTAAGCAGTACATTCAGAGGTGAAAGTGGTTCTAACATCTGTCCATAAAACGGCTTTATCACTGACCCCCCAATGTTTCTAGGTACAAAAGAGTTTTTTATCTGAGTGAATTTTCTGCATGTTTAATGTTTTCTTTCGAGTAATTTCCTTTTTTTAAATAAGAAATTTGCCCAGAATAATCATCCGCCAATACCGAACATTGAATGTGGTCACTGAATGCATCGTTTGAACGGAAAGGATGAAAAATAATCACTTACATCTTTCTATACAATGCTGCTCCCTAGACTAAACTAAACCCAGAAGAAATTTTTAGAAGTCGTTCAGTGAGATATCAAGTCGTAAGTTGCGGCGGTATGCAAACTCATATACAAGTCACAATGTACTCTACTATATATTGCCCATACAGGCGAATCACCAGCCGCACGCTTGAGTGTGATTGCGGACCTTCGGCATTCAGAAGAGTGGCAGAGTGCAAGCTGATCCGTGAGAAGAACAGCAGTGAGAATAGGAGTGCTTGGGAAGATTCCGAAGTCTGCAATAGCACAATTTGTGCGACTGATGATTCGCTCATTTTCTTTTTCTTTTTGTGATTTTTAAATCATCCTTTTCTTGCCAACATGTCTAGAGTATTAGACAAAGACTTGCCGGGTCGGATTTTTTTAATGTTTCTTTCCACTGTTGTCTTCTCTTTCTAATAAATCTGTTGCAACGGGTGTTGATGCTACAGTGAAATGAAGACGTCACTCGTTCTGCACACACAAATAGAAGTTTGATTATAATAGTTAGGGTCGCAACATATTGCTCATGATTTTCACATTTTCAAGAAAATTATTTCGGAGAAGAACATCGAAAGCAAGACGCTGAAGAGATCTACAAAAAAAAGATGAGCTTATTTCTATCGATCGCTGGAGTAGAAACATTGAAGTTTCAAAAGATCAACATCGCAATCTATGATATGGAATTTCGAAACAAGCCATTGCAAAAATCTGTACTGTTGCGTGAGAGCGAGATAGAGCTGTCAACTGTCGTTAGGTATGCGCCATACTCGATCTGCTTGATCCGCTTCATCCACTTTGCTATTGGTCAAATCAGCAAACTGACCAATGACGAAGTGGATTAAGCGGATCGAGCGGATCAAGTATGGCGCGTGCCTTTGACGCCAAAGACAAAAAATATACCAATTCTCGCAATTTTTAACGCGCAGAAAAAAAAGACCAAAAATGAGTTCAATCTCAACCATATAAATTTTTCTATTTTGCATAAAAATCTAAAATTTTCTGTTTTTCGTGTACTACTGATTGATGGCTACACGACAGCGAAGTTTCCAGCACACAACATCGTGTTTACTAGTAAACTATAACTTGTTAAAGCAGATATTTTTGGAATAATACTTTGCTGTCTGGTTTATCACCCCCTGGTTCCACCAAATCAAATGAGAGATTGGCATGGCAAAGATCTGATGATTATTACAGTTTTTGAGGCCACCTGTGTAGCAACAAGGTGTACGTAGCATGCTTTCCATGATTAGCTAGACTTTTTTCCTGATAAGGCAAATACAAAAACAAGAAGAAAGGAGAAAAAACACTTGCTAGTAATGTCATTCAATTGCAAAAAGGAAATATTTGCGATTTTCAAGCAATCACAATCACGCAAGAAACTGGAAACCTTACTGCTCACGCTCTAGTAGTGGATGACTTATTTTTGCGTTGCCGACAACATCTGCGCGTGAACAATAGCAATGTGCAATTTATTGCCGTTTTTTATGCGTGAGTTGCGAGCAAATTAGCGCACATAAATGCATCTGTCGCATGCATTTCTCGCGCAAATGTTGTCGTTACCGCAATAGCACGTATGTGTTCGGAAGTCATTTCTGCAACGAACACGAGTTTCAACTTTTACATTACGTGTATCTTGGAAATGGAGAAAAACACGTAATATATCGAGAAACTCGCGAAGCAACTGACCAACAATGAGGAAGCAGAACAGCACATGTTCAATCTTATCAGTATATCGTGACCCTGTCACGAGGTACTTGGTTGAGGGAAACGTGAGAAACTGGCCGCAAAACAATATGAGACTTGGAATTTCGAAATTTATGAACAAAGGCTCAGACATATAAATGACTGCTGCGCACCGACTGTATGTAGACGGCATCGGCAGCCGCCAATGATTTAATCATCAATCAAGGGAGCATGACTCATCAACTGGCTAGAATCCAGTGCAGCGCCATGTCATCTAATATCTATTTTACAGTTTATTTCGATGAATTCGTCAATAGGCATATATTAAATCTTCTAAGATTAGAAGCTGTCACAATTAAAATGTACATATTCATGCAAAAACATCATTGAAATTTCTAGAAATTATAGGAACAAGAAAACCTTCTACAACTTAAATTCATTAGAACATTACGAAAAATTGGCATGAGATATGTAGGAACCGTAAATATACCCGAGTTTAGATAAGACAAAGGCAGATAGCATAAGATGCACCTCAGATATTTGCAGTACAAGGCAGAAAGGAGCACCTTACAATGGGAAGTAGATAAGCACACTTAGTTATGAAAAAGAGGTACAGGCAGTTATAAATTGAGCAGAAATGAAGTAGCCGAATGACTAAGCATTAAAACAAACAGATCTGATTGAAGAATTCCAAAGATGACTGATAAGATTACTCAGAGTGTGTACAACCTCTTCTTCGGACGTGTACTAATGGCACCCCTTCGGAGCGATTCCAAACCAAACTGAGTTGTATTGCAGCCAACCAGCTAAAATCACAATTGGAGCGGCAAAACAAGCTTAAAAATAGAACATTAGAAAAAAGAAAATATTATGGGTTATATTGTGATGAGAACTAAGAGCAATGAGATTTGATGAAGAATTTTTTGCAAGATAAAAGAAAAATTGAAACATATGCCATTCCCCACTACAAACTTGATTTCTATTTACATATCATATCCAAAAATTAGTTTTGTATTCCTAACGTTGAACCAGTCTATTTGCTTTCAGACAAGACAAACTCACTCTTCAATCAATCTCCTCCGCTGGATATCGAACATTGTCCCGCTGATATCTCAACCTTACATGCAATGCATGAAAGACAGAGTCCACAGACATCGCAGCTCCAATTAAAGCCAAGAATTCCACAGTTCGCACAGTTGTTTTATGCCACCTCAACAATGTATCTGACGCCAGATCATTGCTGACAGACCTGGAAATGAAATGGCTAGCCACCCTACTAATGTTTGGCTTAATAAACAACTTACTTCAGACGAATCTCTTCAGCAAGCCGTTTGAGTATGTCAACGATCTCATGAAACTGTTTTCGAATATCCGTGCGAGCCATCTGAAAATGAATCAAGATAACCTCACAAGTCTTTAAAAGAATAATTCGTATTTCAAATAAAGTATTCTCGTGCAGTATTGTCAAAATAAAATCAAACGATTAACCAGTGCTTGTAATTCTGATTCGGCTTGAGCTAGGATCTCATCTACTTCTTCAACTTCTTCAGCCCTTGATAATGCCTCCGCATGTCTGTCGAAGATCGACGAAACCTGGAAAAAGACAGTGATTTCCAATCTCTGCAGGTAAACTGCTTTTGTCCTCAAGTAACTGAGATCGTTTTTCTAGATGCGCTTTGTAAGAAAATTTCCTTCCAAAGTGGTGGTAGTCCTCTGCACCCTTTCTCAGTGTGTTGCCACCCGTCTTCCATGAGTACAAACTGCCCGTGTTGCCCTTTACTCCACAACAAGATGTTATAGCAGCAAGCGAGTCTGTTTTCGCAATGAAGCCTAACCTTTCCCAAAGGACCCAGCCGAGTCTGTGATTATGTTGCAGTACCGTAACCAAGCAACATAACGGATTCAGGAGAAAAAATTATATTCAAGATCAACATGTCCAGCTCTAGAGCGAACATCTTCGACCCCTACCAATTTGCTGTTGGTAGGCACCGGAGATAAAGCAATATAAAAATGGCATCGCATTACTGACATCAGAATTTGTCCTACCTTCTCCACGAAGAGATCCTTTATGATGGTTACGAGCGAAAGCAATTTGTGCACAATGAAGAACATGTGGCGAACTCGTCTCTCAGCTACTTTTCTATCGTCACAGACTCTCTCGTAATCTTCAGCTTTTTTCCCTGAAAGTACGAACAGACTAGATAATCAAGGCAGCGGTGGCTCCTTCCTTCATGCAATCTGCTTTTCGGACCCTGCTGTGAGCAAGTAACAAGGGAGGAGAATACTCACTGTCTGAGCTGACACTCGTCAACAACTCCACGACCCGGAAGATCTTGAACATATTGTCCATGCAGGCATTCATTGCTGGTATCAAGGTGGGACGTATCACATAATTCAGAGGTCTTTCGAGCTGCAGTATGTTGACTGAGAAATAAAAACCAAGTGTTAGAACAGAACAACCCACATCACAACTAATGCTATGATCTGTCTCTGAAATAGCTGTCGTAGCTAAGCGCCATTTGATCGCTCGGTTGGGAGGTATGCCGCTGCGAAGCAATGCCGAATTATACACTTCCACCAGATCTAACTAAAAATCAAAGTACAGCAGAACGCGGCTAATGAGGCAAGCAAATCCTATAATTCTAGACTCACCGCAACTATCTTGGATGGATCCGAAGTACAACCGTATACGTATGCAGCGAAGCAATGTGCTACTCTACCGCAGGTGATTTCCTGCAAAAACATGTGAAAACGTCTTATCTCCAAAATCAAGAAGAGAGTGGAAAATGGGGCTGTCAGTTCTAGGACCTTTAGAATATAACTGTACAATTATTTGAGTTGCATTCTTTAAGGGTTTCTCGACTGAGTAAAACGAGCGAATCTAAGTTACCGATGAAGGTTACTTCTTCAACCATTAAATGAGCACTAACTCTCTCTTTCCCTTTCTCTTTTGTACCAAACTGACCTTCATGTCCTGCCAATACTGGTGCAAGCCAGCTTCACTTATCTGCGATAGCAATTTGTTGCTCAGCTCATGCGTCAGCTTCTGCGCTGCCATTTCAAATGCATTTTTGAAGTTTTGGAATGAAAAGAACCTTTAAAAAACGGACGGTAAATGCCTTAGAATAGACAGCCACTCACATTCCTTCACTCCAGCCGAGTGCCTTCAAGCTATCATAGAATGCGGTAGAGAACACAGGTGTCACATCCAATTCGGGGCCGAGACGGAAACGAGCTTGAGATCCACGGAGAACCTAAAGTTCCGGACGATCAGATAACGCTACTCAACTACTTCTTATATATAAAGCTGAATGTCTGTTTGTCTGTCTGTATGTATGTATGTATGTATGTATGTATGTGTGTACGTATGTTCCGAATAGAAAATTCCATTTCTGAACCGATCCGGACCAAACTTGGCACACATACACTTCGGGCCCCGGCGGGTGTCATAGGCTACTTTTCGTCATCGATCGATATCGATTTTATCGATTTTTATCGATTTTTTTGCTGAGTTCACCTACGGGGCTGGGAGTTGGCACAGGGGGGTAATCGAGCATGGGGATTCCGAATACAATATTGGTTTTCAGGATTATCGATTACTTTTATCGATTTTATCGATTTTTTTGCAAAGTTTGAGCTACGGGGCTGGGAGTTCGCACAGGGGGGTAATCGAGCATGGGGATTCCGAATACAATATTGGTTTTCGGGATTATCGATTACTTTTATCGATTTTATCGATTTTTTTGCAAAGTTTGAGCTACGGGGCTGGGAGTTTGCACAGGGGGGTAATCGAGCATGGGGATTCCGAATACAATATTGGTTTTCGGGATTATCGATTACTTTTATCGATTTTATCGATTTTTTTGCAAAGTTTGAGCTAGGGGGCTGGGAGTTGGCACAGGGGGGTAATCGAGCATGCTGATCATCCCCGAGGGGGGTGATCAGCATGCTCGATTACACCCCTGTGCCAAATTCCAGCCCCCGAGCTCAAATTTTCAAAAACGATAAAATCTATAAAAGTAATGGACGATCTTGAGAACTAATATTGTATTCGTAATCTGCATGCTCGATTACCCCCTGTGCAAACTCCCAGCCCCACAGGTCAAACTTTACAAAAAAATCGATAAAATCGATAAAAGTAATGGACGATCCTGAAAACTAATACTGTGTTCGTAATCAGCATGCTCGATTACCCCCCTGTGCAAAATCCCAGCCTCGCATGTCAAAATTTACAAAAAATCGATAAAATCAATAAAAGTAATCGATAATCCTGAAAACCAATATTGTATTCGGAATCCCCATGCTCACTTCCCCCCCCCCTGTGCCAACTCCTAGCCCTGTAGGTGAACTCTGCAAAAAAATCGATAAAAATCGGTAAAATCGACATCGATCGATAACGAAAAGTGGACTGTGACACCCGCCGGGGCCCGAAGTGTATGTGTGCCAAGTTTGGTCCGGATACGGCGGAGCCGGGTAAGCCAGCTAGTATTCAATATTTTCCAAATTCAGCTGAACAAACGAAAACGCCTCAAATATCTTCTACACCAATAGGACTCAAAGATAAACAAAGCAATACCGTAAGAAGTAAGCTGTCATTCCAAAGCAAGGATTGCATATCAGAATGAGATCTCGTGATCAACAACTCTGGATCAGCTGTATCGCTAAAACAAGCAAACTCCCAATCTGACGGCCACCATATAATATTTCCTCGAAAATTTACTAACTTGTATAGGATGAAAAACTTCTCATGATTACGTGGTACACTTCCAAGCGAGTAGATATGATCCATGATTCTGAGCAAAAACTGGCAATAAGACTGCTCCAGCTGTGTCACCATGACTGTCTGGAAAAATTCATGTTACCTAGATCCCAAGTAGCAAATGCACAAGCGTGCACGTATCTCATCCTTATTCAAGTCTTCACTCCTGTCCATCACAACAAAGAGATTGTTCCAAGCCAATTCAACTTGCAACCAATCGAAATTGCGTGTCTCAAACCAAGCACAACTCATTTCGTACAGCAGCTGAACGCATTCTCGGAGCGATGATGTTTTCTCCAAAAGACTTGCTATCGCTGAATAGAAAGTTAGACCCAACGGTCATTTACATCATCAAGAACAGGCATCGCTTAACCAGCAAATCTGATAAGGCGAATGCAGTTTTGAGCGCACAACCCTTTCTTTTTTAGTAGTTTGACAAAACACAGAACTTCATTAAGCGTAATCTTGGGCATAGTTCAGGCGATCGCGTGAACTATGCCCGAGGCCTAATGCTGATATCAACCTACTTCTGAGTGCTGCCACTGATATAACAACGAATATACAGGAAAAAGCAAGTCATTGACCAACTGCGCATGAATTGCAGATAGCCGCAAAGCGGAAGTCAGCGTCAGTAAACGTTTTAACCAAACTTAAACGGCAAAACTATGGAAGGACATCTTGCAGCAAATCTTCAGTCAGTTTTTTCAAATTTTCACTTAAGTCTGTGCGTGCTTCAGTCCGCAAAAATGTCAGTGTTTTGTGAAACATTTCAATTGAGCGGGGAGCAAGTAGCCAACTTATAGACCCCACAAATGCAATCTATTACATCCAAAATACAGCTCTTAACTTTACCAACGAGGTATGATCGGATTTCAGATTCGTGTGGAGGAGAGTTGCAGAATTTCCCTGCCTATAAGGGTAAAATCAATGAGATAGTACGCAAAACAATGCTGTAACGTTGAAGTTTTTTAGCTTATGCGCACACCAAGGCTGGTAAGGAAATTTTGCCATTACTGCGCAGTGTACATCACCATGGTGGCATACTCTATCACTGGCTCGGTCCACTTACAAACATCATCTATGATTGTTTGTAGACAATGAAGCTTTAGGAGTTAAACCAAGCACAACAAAATCTAGCAAAATTTACAGTAAAGACGTAATCATAAAAATGCACTCACATAAACGTTTCTGGTGTCGTAGAATTGCGATAGTGTTCGAATAGCATGCAAAAAATTGCCTTGTGTATTCAAGGAAAACCTGCAGCAGCCAATGATTAATAGAAGCATCTAAAGAATTACTGTAATGACAATTTGAAATTATGTTTTTTTCAACTGCTCTGATCTGCAAAGCTTGGCAAGTAGACTTCCCCATTTTCTAATACGATTTTTCTCTTGAGCATATTCTGATGTAGGCAAGAGAGACGCGTAATCTCGCGTGAAAAATCATCTCGGTGCAAGCCATCGAACATATTCACAAAGAACATTAATTCAAGCCGCAAAAATCAAATGTAGCAACACACGAACTTGCCAAAAAGCTGGCGTGCGAACATTTGCCTCCAATTTGTCAGCAAATCGTGCAATTTCGCGAAGTTCCACATGAAGTGCAAAGTACGGTGTGGCGAGATTGACGAGCTAAAAATAAATTGTTTTATGAGATGAAGCAAATTGGGGTAAAGTTAATAACTAGAATTCATACCTGCTCTTCACTGTACTGTGACAATGGATCATCTTCCCTAAACTGATAGTTCGTATCCACTACAATCGCACCATTGCATACAGTATAGAAAGAGGGATCCTCATAAGCTGACGGTTTTTCTTTGGGCAGATCAATGAACTCCAAAAAATGAAATAGAAGGCGCTCTTTGGTTAGGATGTATTGCTCGGCACTGAGAAAAAACATACTACATATAAATCGTGGATAAAAACACAAGAAATAGGGAACTGTACGGATTTACCATGCTCGATATCGCAGCAATTCGACTTTGTGAAGGTTCTTCAGCGCAATCGTCCTCGATGATACAATGCAAACGCTTGTATTCTTTCTCGGCGAATTCCGTTCTGCTAGCGGAACCGGAAGATGCCAAACTCTCGCACTGTCTATAGCAGAGTCGTTGTCTGAACTTCATGAGATATGTCGCAGGTGATGACTAAATATGACGGACTATTACCGCTAAGATCTCCCTCGTCTTTTGGCTCACTTTCCTTTTTCTTGTAATACTCAAGCTGAAAATGGCCTTTTTATAAGCGGCATTTGCAACAAAGGTTAACCCAAGACGACATGTTTACATACAAGACAAGAACGCGAAGTTCAATTTCTGCCAAAATAACCCTTTTTAAATACATTTCCTAACTTCAGCTACAGGGCTTTACAACCTGAGTGTCCCAACCGCCCCGCTAGGCCGCCACGCTTAGGTCCGCGCAGCGTTCGTGGCGCTGGCTGCGCGTCGACTGAAGCTTGCGAAATCCGGGCGATACGCAGCAAACGCCGCGCGCGGCCTGAGCGAGGCGGCCGCGTTGGAGGAGCCGCGCAAGCGAAACCTGCGACTCTCAGGTTGAAAAGCCCTGTACATGGTCGATTGATCATAAAGGGAACCACAGAGAACAAGTTACGAATAGTAGCTAGTAATTATGAATATAAGAACCATCTTTTGCCCACGGACTTGCATCGCGCCATGTCCCCCTAATTATACGATTGTCACTGTACCTCTTCTTTTACCAAGTCGATATCATAACCATTATCGGCGTTGATATCACCAAATCCTTCGTCCGTATCAGCATTGTTAGTCGTTAACATAGAACTCCTCTAAGAGACGAACTTGAAAAAAAAAGCTGCATCACTAGCTTACGCAATTTGACGGATCTAACCGAACAAAACAACAAAAGATGATCCAAATAATTTTTATTGTTTTTTTAACAAGCTCTATTGCTAACCTATCAGCCTAAATTACACGTACATAAATATGTCTCTAATCAGCCCATAAAGAGCACTTTGACAGCTCAATCCATCTCTACAATGGCAGGAAACAGGTGCAATTAGCAAATTGATTCACACAACTGTCATCAATGGTACTTGATACCCAAAACTGCTAACTCGCTCGAAACGAGGTAAATGCTTACAATTCAAACAATGATGAGTGAGAGACTAGTTCAAAACTAAAGAGTGAAGCACCAAATTTTCAGAGACACTATTTTACTTTCAAATACTATTAACCAAATGTGGAGCTCAAAACTATAGCTCCAGAAGTAACCACAAACGGGCTACGTGCACATTGGAAGAAACGGATTTGGAGCATGATAAGAACATAATCTCAAAAATACTATACACACAACGTTACAATAAAAAACAAGCTCTGCTAACAACGATAGGAATCTTTACAAACTTATGATTGTATAGCACTAAAACAATAATCAAAAATGTTCTCAAGGTGAAGGACTTTCTGGCCTCAAGAAAGTTGAGGAAAAGTGCTCCAGGTTACGCAGTAAAAACGCCGTTTTACCCCTGCAAGTTTGAAGTTAAGAAAAGACCTTTGATTGTATAGTCTAAATCTCACTTTATCGTTGCGAGGCTCTTCAACGTGCCGTCGACCTTTTCAATCTCTTTTTTGCTTTTGTCCAGCTCATCCTTCATTTCTCTATGAACTCCGGCAACGGTTGTACGAAGGCCATCAAAAACTTGGTCCATCTCCCTGAAAACATTCAAATACTGTTTGTAGGTACAACACCTGGCACTTCGTTGAATCGCAAAAAGCATGATACTCAAAGATGAAACTAGTTTTGAGAGAAACCTCGGAACTAGAAATTGCCGCGCTCCCTAGCAGTTACCTTCTGTGAACTACAAGATATGCAATGACCAACCTCATAGCCTGAGTTTCGCAATGTGTTGTATGGGCTGCTCCAACCTGTTGCATACGAGCTGCCAGATGTGAGCGAAACTGCTCTTTCAAATGTTGTTCCTTTGCGTGAGAGCTCCATCGCATACGCTCCCAGATGTAAAGACCGCCATAGGCCGCACCCGCCACAGCAATTACCTTACATGTAAGTTTCATGCATTGCAACTCCAAATCAAGAAAACAAGAAACATATCAATGCAGATAAGATTCAAGCGGACATACTGGGTCTTTGATTTCCATCACTCACCCTCCATCCAACTGCTCTATACACGAGACCGCCTACGACAAGTAATCCTATACTGCCGTTGGCAAGGTAGCTTGCTGACGTCAGCACCATTTGCGTCATCATTGCATTTTCTTCCGTCGCTTTACTCATAGCTTCTCTGTGTAGTTCTTCATTGCTACGCCCCGCATTTTTCTGGAAATACAAACTGAGGCCAGGTTCACCGCTGGAGCGGTCGCGCATGAACGAACCAGGGCTAAGGGTGTTAATATGTTTGCTTCAATGGCTGTGACAGGTTGACCAGATCGGTATGCGATTATTCTACGGATTATAGCAGACAGACCAAATGTGAAGCGAAACTCAAGGTCTTCATGAAAATCTCTAGAACAAAATTACATAGCAGAGGGAGTAAGATATTCATGAACTTGAAAAATAGATTGATAAGTCTCACTTTTCTCAGATAAAACTAAACACATCAACTCACTTCGTCAGGCCCGGAGCATCCACACAGATACTGAATTTGAAGGGGGCCCTATATCGCCAAACTTCTTCGAGTTTATGCTGGTACGGTTCCGCGAGAATTTTCGTGACATACTCTGAAGGATATACCTTCGATAAAGCAATTTCAGAATTACAACTGATAAAGATCAAACGTGATGTTTTGAAACTACAAGAGATAACGAGCTTCGAAAGCAATGATAAGGAACTTACGGAACATGTCATTCTCCAGATTCCATATTCTTGACATTAGGCCACCTGTACATCTTGCTTCAAGGTCCGAACTAACACATTTATCGGTGAACTCAGCTAGTGCCTAAACATTTGGAACGTTCTTATCTGATTGTGAGATAAAACATACGAACTCTAAGAACACTTCTGATCATTCTCAATAGCACGCCTACCTGTTTATATTCGATAATTCCCTGTTTAGTATCCATAAATGGCATATTGAAACGATCTACTATTGCTTCTAGCCTCATGATTTCTTCGCTGAAGTCAGCGGACACCTGCATTGGAGCGGTCAGTATGAAAACTGGACGAGAAAGTAGTTCATCAGCAAAGCAAAGTTGCATCTGTACCGTAAGAACTGACAGAAAAACATTATAAAAATTACCTTCAAATGCACTTCAGCCCTCAGTCGCTCTGTCTGTTCACGGTAAGCACGTTCGAACTGAGCGAAATTCATGCGGCAGTCATTGAAAACTTGAGTGCTAATCTAGAAAAATGCATATCACAAGCAAGATGCTCGAGAACTTTTTACACCTAGGACACCAAAAATTTTTGGTCGATAATCCTAAACATAGCAGCTCCCGCATACCTGTAATTGTCGCTCAAGATTTTGCTTGTTAGCAGAGGCAGCTGCATGTACGACGTCTACGTTGGCTCGCATACGTGTAATTATTTCGTTAGCTCGTCGCTTATGAGCTTCAAACTTCGTTCGAATAGCCGCTCTAAAGATAGCCTTGTTTCATGATTTTTATTCGTTCATGACAAGAAAAAGAAAGTACCTTGATATACACTGCTCAAACTGTTTCTCGAACATTTCGAACTCCATAGCTCTCACTTGATGTCCATCCATTTGATAGGGTTTATTGATGAGGCCACGAGCTTTCAGGCGGGCATCAAGAACCTCAAGAAGTATCTATACTGGAATAGGTGCAACATAAAATTCATTTTTTGCCTTGTGGATTGGCCCTTAAAATTCTTTGGGGAATATCAATAGACGCTCAAAGATGAAATATAATTGCTAACCTCGCGCGAAGATACGAAGAATATCCTATCTTTTACATCTCGATCTGTTGCAACTTCCAATTCATTCACCAGGAACTGGCGAAAGCGCGTTAGATGTTGCTGTCTAACCTATAATGAGAATACTAATAATAAAGAATGCCGATCAAATTTAACAGTTTTGTAATTCCTTACGTCATCCACATGCTCAGATTCTGAAGCGCTAGCATCCCAGCGATTGTTAAGTATAAACACATTCGGCTTGCTGAGCTTCTTCGCAACACGGTAGAAGAAACTTTTCTCCTATAATTGCATCAAACTGACAAACGTGATAACACAAAAAGATTTGACGTTACTAAAGATGAAACCCCAATAAAAACAAAGTTACGTGAAGTGTTGAACAAACCGCTTGTGTAAGAGTCGACTCAGCGTTCAATACTAGCACAAAAACATCAGCATCTAAGCAATGCTTATCGATCCAACTATCGAATTCTGGTGATAGATCGACACCAGGACTGAAAAAAAAGGGAAGATCGGAAAAACCAGGGAAGCGATACAAGAGGAGGAGCAGTAGATAACGTGACGTATTTAGGATTCGAGCACAAAAGAGTTTTATGCAAAAGTTAACTCACCTATCCAAAATCACGACATCATTTTGCAGCAGCCGGTTCTCTCCTTCACCCTTTCCCTTGGGATAAAATACACGTAGCAATGAGTCCTGACCCATGGAAGGTAGCCCAGAATTGTCACTGCTTAGAGCATGACCTATCTTACTAAGTTGTTCTATAGGTATACGCTCATCACTATCTTCAGGAAGCAAATAGCCTTGTTCTTCGTTGCAACCTTGGACCTGAAGAGAAATATCTTCTGAAATAAGAGGCAAGATGGTATGGATATTACCTGCAGAAAACAACATGTTGTATGACCCATTCCTTGAGGAAGGATTTTTGCATGCAGCATTGCATTGATTGTCGTGCTTTTACCATTGCTTGTCCTTAGAAATATTGAGTGACAATTATTCTTACAAAACCTACAGCATAGGTTTTTGCTGATGCGATGATGACAAATCTTCGAAATCTGATGCGATGATGACAAATCTTCGAAAATTCGAATCTCCTTATACATCCAGCACACGAGCTACTTACTGGGGTCCATGTCACGATCCTATGCTTACTAATAATGTTTGATAACCGTAATTCTTTCTTGATCATCTTTGAAGAAGGAACGAGAAATAAAAAAACGTTTCGATCCTTACCGGCTGGATGTATAAGGAGATTCGAACTACACAAACGAAAATGAGAGTCACATGATGGCGACTACAAATCAATCCTATCATAATTTCTTATGCCAAACTTCATATGGAAACCTTAGCGCATTCTTCGATAAGATCAGCAGATAGAAAATTAGTAGACACAAAGTGTGAGAGCAAAAAATATAGGTGATTGATACCTCCCAAAAAAGACGACCTTCATGTTGTCCCGTCTAAACGTTTCCATGATGGTACGTATCGACTCGCGAAATTGTTCAATTTCAGCTGCTTGCTCATCAGGCACCATGCACACACCCGAATCTCCAGAGCCAGGCACTGGTGGAACAGCGATATCTCAAATTATAAAAGTCGTCACTGAGAATATTATCATCAGATTGCAATCGCACCTTTGTAAACTTCATCCAGCTCGTCGACATGTTTTCCAAGATCATTGTAAATCTCGCCTAGCACTTTCTTTGCTTCCGAAAAACGAAGCAGTGGCTCAGCTTCGCCATTCATTCTGCGAGCGGTTTTTACTGAAAAAGTCAAGTTGCTGACCACTTGTTGTAGCTGACATTGATAAGCCTATACTTCTTGGATTTTGAGCAGATCACACAACATCGAACATAGCGCATTGAAGCACCAGAAAAACCAACTTTTCGGCCCCGTTTGCCAAGGGAAAATTTAGACGAGGATGCCTATAAAGTTCAGCAAATGACTCACAGCTCAAGTTGAGGCGCGAGTTATCACCAGCTCCACCGTGTGCTACAGTATACATTACTCCATGAAATACAAGAACAGAGCAGCAACCTGAAAATCTCCAGTATATTTGATATGGTTACAAAGAATATAAACCGGATGTAAATAAATAAGGAATCGAAAAAATCAATAAATCGAACAGGCAACGATCCAAGAAAATGTGCCCCAAGACTACACTTCAAATGAATAATTTTCCTTTAAAATCGATGCTAGGTTACACTTGAGAAGCATAAGAAGATAATAGGAAAAAAGCGTGGAAAATCTGCGCTGAAAAAACACTTCTTGAACGCACAGCACTCATCAGCAAACACTAACTCTTCAGAAAATCAACGGAATGACGGGATGAAGAAAAAATTATCCTGTTTAGCGTGCATATTGGCCATGGAGCACGATTCGTTTGTCGACAAACTGCGAAGTGTTTACTCAAAGTCGTTTAGCGAAACTTTCTGTTTGTACTGCGGTTGTTCTCAGGTGCACATGGTGTCATGCGTATAATGTATCAAGCATGTGGAAAGTCCAGAGAATGGATGCTAACTCTAGTTCGAATACAATCGATTGGGCTAGTGTGTGCAATTGCACATTTTGCTAGTGTATTGCACATTTTAATTATTCATTTATTTATTTATTGATACGTGCAAAAACACGTGAATAGAAATAGTAAAAGGAGAGTCTTGCAATAGTATAAACCATAGTATCAGTGCATGAAAAAGACATCAGCAAAGGATATACATTTAATAACAATTACAACACAAGACAATGAATTAGTTTCACGATTAGGAAATAGGACGATTTGTAGTAAAAAATTTAGCTAATGTTTTTTGAAGAGCATCTTGTGCCAGTAGTCTGTTGAATTCGGAAATTATCCTCACAGTGAAAAATTGGGACCTGACTTGCGATTTTGTTTTGGGAGCTCTTAGTTTCAGTGAACTCTTTAGTTTTAGAGTTGTAAACGTTGAAAAATTTTGAAAAATCAATTTTGCATCTTCCTGTTAACATCTTGAGAGCCATGGAAAGGTCAAATTTTTTCCTTCTGAGGGCTAAACTAGGAAGAGACAACACTTTATTGCGTTCATCACTCCTAGGTACAAGAGAGTAGTTGGGACCTGAAAGTCTTAGAAATAACTTTCTGGTAAAGTTGTTTTGCACTCTCTCGATATTAGCGATGTCTCGAATCTTATATGGAGAAGTAACTGTAGTACCAAATTCAACAATAGGGCGAATTTACATCTTGTAGGCATTGATCAAGACTTTAGCGTCTGTGGTTCTGAGGGCCTTGAATAGATTGTAAGTTCGGGAAAGGGCTTTAGAGACAGTGCTGTTGTAGTGAGATGTAAATTGAAGCTTTTCGGAAAATGTAAAACCTAAATCTTTAACTTCCGTAATCTGAGTCAAATTGTTTCCATTCAGGGTATAGGATGACTCAACTTTTTTGACACCCAAAGACATTACATGAGTTTTTTGGGGGGATAGAGGCAATTCAAATTTAACTGACCACTGATTAACAGCTTCAAGGCAGGATTGTAAGAGTTTCACATCATCTTGATCACGAATAACCTTGAACAACTTGATATCATCTGCATACATCACGCATCTGGTATCTTGCTGAGATTCAATGATATTGGGCAAGTCAAAAGTAGAGAAAGTAAGAAGTAAAGTAAAGTAAAGAAGAAAGAGTATAGGAGAGAGAACTCCACCCTGCGGTACTCCGCTAGAGATGGTATAGGCTCTTGAAAATTCATTACCGACACGAACTTAAAAGGTACGGTTGCTCAAAAAGTTTTCTATCCATCTGCACGTTGTACCCTCCACTCCTACCATTTTAAGCTTTGATAACAGTTTGGTGATTGGGACTTTATCAAATGCTTTGGAGAAATCTAGGAAGATAACATCTATTTGATGTCGTTTATCAGCTTCGATAGTCCAGTCATTCATGGCTGTAAGGACTGCTGTTTCGACGGATTTACCTTTACAAAAACCATGCTGACATGGGGAAATAATGAAGTACTTTTCTAAGTGTGAGACAGTCTGTTCCTTCAAGACTTTTTCGAATGTTCTAGCAAATATAGAAGTTATGCTTATTGGCCTATAATTTTTTGGATCGTTGTTGGGCGGTTTCTTCGGAGATCAGCCTTATCCGTGTCGCGTAACAGAGATTTTCCAGAACTATCCACTAGCGGATATGAGGCATATTTATCCACAAGATGAGTTCTCATATAACGAAAAAACCCACTTTTATTCTTGGATAGAATGAGTTTTTTCTCCAGATGTATGTGGTATTTATGTGAAGCTCTTTCAAGTTTACAATTAAATTTTTGGAAAGCAGACCAAGCTTCAATACTTCCACAATCAAGAGCATGATTCTAAAGCATATCCCGTTTCTTGATCATGTTTATAAGGTACGATGGTAGACTTCGTTGATTTTCCACAACTCTACATAATGAGATGAACTTTTCCACTGCATGTTGCAAAACGGCAAGAAAAAGTTCATACATTACATTGACGGAATTTAAGGGTGTAAAACAACCCAGCCAGTCAATGCTGGATAAATACTCTCGCACAACGGAGTAGTTCGCACTCTTGAAATCCTTGATAAGGATTTCTGTAGCGGGAGTGTAAGGCACTCGGAGGGAAAAGTTAATTGTGGAGTGATCACTGGTTCCAATTGGGGAGCGTATTTCAATATCAGCAACCAGATTAGGACGATTGCAAAAGATAAAATCAAGAACGGAATTTCCTCTGGTGGAACCTTTGACAAGCTGCACAAAGCCATGGGTAGTAACAAAATCAGTTAATATCTTTGTAGAGTTGTACGGAATCATGGAAGGGTTTGATGCGAAATCGATATGGGGAAGTCACCTAGCAAGATAGTGGGACCTTCAAAAGTACTTAAATCACTGAGTGCTTTTGTTAGATTGATGAGGTCCATGGCGCTACAGTTTGGCACCTTATAATCCAATATCATCGTAGTGTTTTGCCTGAAAATAAAAGCTCGTAGACTAAAATTTCATGGGAGTTAGCTATAGATTCATTGAAAACCACATTTACTGAAATAGTTTTTCGGATCAAAATAGCAACGCCTCCTCTACGACGAATTCGGCCACACCTGACCCCGGTGTATGTTGAGGAAGCAATACCAAGAAGAGCTGAGAGTTCGTTGTTAGTATTTAACCAGGTCTCTGTCAAGAAAACAACATCAAGATGCTCATTACAAAGTCTCAAAATTAAATCGTCCGCATTACTGATCATGGAACGTATATTAGAAAGACAACATGATAAACGAGACATATTCCGAGGAAGATCATTTAGTTTTCCGAAACAGTTGTGAGCGGGGATGACATAATAGTAGGCTTAGAACCTTGTGAGCGTAAAGGGGAGGGATTCATAGTAGAGTTCAAATTTGGATTTTTTAAGTTACTATCAGATAATTTAGACCGGCGTTCCTCTCTCATACGTTCTCTCACCTCCCTCGGCAAAGAGGGGCGTATAAAAACTCCTTTGTTAGAGAAGAACCTCAATATAGGAGCACGAGCTTGTTTCTGGAAAGAACTTGTGGGCAAAACTACTTTAAGGAGCCTAGGCTTTCCTGGTGTTTTTCGTCCCATGCGATACAAAGTACATGGCAAGCATTCGATGTTAAGTCGAGTAGTGCAATAGTACAGTTGAAGTCATGATTAACTCTTTGTGAACATGCAGTAGATTCAGATTCAGGTACATTAGCTATGACTATCGAACGTTTCATTTCTATCTCGCTTTCAGATGGCTGGTCGACATTCTTTAACTTACTGTTTTCTTCTCGCAGCTGCACATTTTCTTTGATTATCTCTTCCATCTTCTGATTTAGCGCTGCAATTTCTTTCTTCGTTTCTAGCAGATAATCGATCATGATTGCCAGATAGCTGGGTAGGGCCTCATCAGCCGTCAAGGCCTTAAGGCGTTCAGCAGGGCTTTTAGCAGAAGTCGAAATAGAAGTCGAAATAGTAGAGTTGAGGCCTTTTACTCCGTTTGACGAAGAATGGGCAGGGTGGAAATCAGCAGAAACACTCTTCCGGGGTGTGGCTGCCTTTGAGTTCTTCTTGCAAGCCTTTGATCTGGTAGTAGGCATGATAGAAATGATGGGTCAACCGGCTAGGGTGAGAGTAAGATGCCGAATTTTCGACAGAGGTCAATCATATGCTAGGGAATATGATATTCGGTCTCTCCATAGTTTTTTCTTTGATTAATCACAATAATTTCTCAACAAAGTTGACCCTTTCGTGCAAGCAGCCCCGCAAAAAATCGCGAGCATTTGGAAATGTGCAACTGCACACATTAGCAAGGTGACAGTGAACTTGACGCTCAATATGATGCCCTTGGCAGCAGAAACACTGGGTACAAGTCGCACCTTTTTCTTTTTCAAAGGCGAGCCGTTCAGGCGCTTCGCTATATCTCTCAAAACTCACGCACGGTAGAGAGTCATGTCGGGTGGAGGACTATATGTCGCCGAACGTAGGAGGGTTCCGCGCGGACTCCCTGCAGAAACGCACCTCCATGCATGTGAAAGAGTGCGCATTTGTTGCAGATAACCGCGGGGACTGCCCCAATTCGGCGACATACAGTCCTCCACCCAGTCATGTCGGCTAATCCATTGGCATGGTTGAGCTTTGATTTAAAAAAAACAGAGGGGCCGGTTCTAGCACGATAACCTATGACAGACAAAACGTGACGCAAGGCCGTGGCGGTGAGCCCATCATGCCAATTTGTCCTGATCCGGATGCGGACAGACTTATTCACGTTCTGCGCCCTATCGCCAATATATACGTGCAAACGTTGTACATAGTCAACGCAAAAGCACTACGTTTCCCTTAAAACATAAGCATACAACAACACAATGGTATTATGCAAGCCTCTAGACAGTGGCTTGGTATTATTATCGAATTTTCGATAAGACTCTTTTGGATAAGTTGGTTTGAAAACACTGCTGCTTGCAGTGATTCTTTTTTATTCGTGTTCAAAAAAGAAGTACGCTAAAAATTTTTTACAAACATATCTTTTAGCTGTGCTATTGTTGTCTATACACGGTGAACACTGCTCCGTACAGTCTGCCCCAATCCTAACCAGGCCAAAATTGGCATGGCGGGAGTGCGCGTCGCGAGGGTTTCGCGCCACTTCTGCGTCTAGCTAGTCTGCTCCCTTCTCAATCTCTTCGCTCTCTGCGACAGCGCGAGTATGCAGCGCAAACCCCTAGCACTGCGAGCGCGCAAATTCAGCCGACGGTTCGGCATGATCCCGATTGGGGCAGACTGTACTCTATTTTTTACTGTTCACATCCACAAAAAAGGACTAATCGGTCTTTATTTTGCCAAAACTGAAAATATAAATCCGTTTCAAAAGCCACAGTACTAACAACAACATAGTTACTGCTACACCTAGCATGAATCCAATAATATCTAAACAGTAATACTGTAAAATATACAAGTTTCTCGAATGCATCATGAGATGCTTCATCTTTCCATATTTGACGATAAGCCTCGCCCATTTAGCGATATCTTCACGGTATTGTTGCGGTCGACCTTCTAGCATCGAAGCCACAAAAGCTGCTTTTTTATGTATTTTACTGCAAAAAAATAGCAAATAAAAGTATACAAATTTTACAATACTCACTTATCGTTTAGCACTCGTCTGATTGCCTCCGTAAGCGTTTTCTTGTTCAGATTATATGGTTTGATATACATTCCTAGGCCTCTTCTTTCAATGTTTCTCGCTGTGTAAGGCTGATCGCCAAATAATGGTATTACAATCAAGGGCTTTCCATGGTGAATCTGAATAAAATTTGTTAGAAAGTTTTCCAGTTTCCCAGTAAATGCGCAAGTTAATATCCATACATCGCAAACAAAAATGTCGGAGAAAAAATTAACGTTAACACACTGACGATTACGCAAATTTTTAATTGTCTGCCTCTTGGGACCAAGACCTCTCAAGGAGCAGTCAGCATTTTCTAGATAAAATTACGAATACTGCCATCTACAGTACACCTACAGTAGCTGTGGAAGGCTGACAAAGAAGTAGAATTCATTTTTAGATCCACTGCAAAATAAAATGAGTTTGTACCAAGATAGTCGTCATTTAATCGAAGTTCAAGCCTTGACACACCATGTGCGTCAAGCGGTCCCACGTGGTAGTCGTTGGAGCGGTCGTCAATGGCCCCTGGCCAGAGTTCTCTCAAAAGCGCTCAAAAGCGCCCAAAAGCGCCTAAACTTGTCTAACCTCCCCTCACTCTTCTCTCTCTCATCTCTCCTCACACGAGAAAGTGAAGAAAAACCAGAGAAATTTGGGCGCTTTTAGGAGCTTTTGAGCGCTGAGCGACGTTTAGCCAGGGCCTTGGAGGTAGGTACTATAATATAGTGGTTAACTCCCCCCTTCCCCCCCCCTTCCTACGCATTTTTCCTTGGCTGGCTATCTTAGGTAGGTACTATAATATAGTGGTTAACTCCCCCCTCCCCCCCCCCTTCCTACGCATTTTTCCTTGGCTGGCTATCTTGACAACGGAAGATGTGATGGGTAAAAACGAACCGCTTCCAAGACGGAGTTGATGCCACCGTGCGTGATAAACAGTGAGAGACGCTTGTCAGCTGGAAGTAAAAAATGTAGGGGTTGTCTGTTTGTCGGGGGCAAAAAACAATAAAAATGATAAAAATTAAGGGCCGGTGGAGAAAGTGCGTGGTAGTTGATCACGAAACTTAGAAGTCTTTCTCTTACTATTATGCTTTGAAGAATTATAGGTTGGACAGGGGGGGATTCAGCCATTTGTTTTGGTCACTTTCTTCATTTTTGCGACCGCTGAAGCACTATCGACGCTCGGAGAAAGCACTATTTTTTCAGTGCCATTAATGAGGTCCGTTTTCATCAATGAGCAAAACAGAAAGTAATCAGGGGTTTACCTAGCAAGTCAATCTGCGGTATCCACTTAATCGGGTGGACGTTTGGATGAGCTTCAAAAATAATGTCATCTCCTTCATATTTCCATATGAAAGTTACATCAGGAAATGAATCGAATGTTTCCAGAATATCTGTAAGAACACTTATAGTCCACAAAGTTTCTGTTCTTAGGAACTGCACTGTTACGCTTTAGTAGTTCCAGTCAGATTACTGACTATTCTTTAGCCACAAGGGCATATCCACGGATCGAGCAATGGAACCCATAGAGAAAAGCACTGTCTTATTTCTTTTGCTGAGCACTTTATCAAGCTCCTAAAAAATACGGTCAACAAGCAGCTCAGAATCTACCACTTACTGATGGCAACGGTTTTGGATCAGGTAGTGCTGATCCTCCTATATATCTTATCATGTTCGAGGTCGGTCGAGAGCTTTGCGCAAATTCATTGACGTTGGTCATAATTAGTGAGGTTTTATCCTAGAACAAAACTGAAATTCTCAGAAATTGGCTTTGCAGACCTCTCACATGATAGATGCTAAGTATAGAGGGAAATCCAGGATATTTCGCATCAAATAATTTCCGTATTTTGCGATCCCATCTATCCTCGAAAGCCCTCATTTCAATGCTCGCTTTGAAGTTTTTGATTCTCTCCATGAAGGTCATCTGATCTGAGTAAGGCGTAGTCGGTCCTGAAAAAAAAACTTTTTTCCATTGAGCTCTGTATGACTGAGCCACTTTACCTGGCACAAAGCTAGGAAAATCGCTCAATCCTGCCACATCGTTTAATCGAGGCAGCGCTCCAACTACAGACAATAACACCACGTTTTTGATCCCTAGAATCTGCAAAAATTCTTTGAAATTGTTGTTTTTTTCGCTTAATCACAAATTTTATCTTGATTTATTCAGCCAAGCAGAGTTATTCCAATGCATTGCTCTATCTCACATTACCATGCTCAAAGTCACGACTTCGACATCCAGAGCCTCATTTCTGCGACAAAAATTCTGCTCACATTTTCAAAGCCAGGCTGCTTCTTAAAGAAGGGCATGCGATTGGCTTGAGAACAACGTAACATCAATTATTCAGATGCGATGAAATAATCTGGAGTAGAGGTCCTAGGGCTTTCCCACGGAGGCGATGCGAAATCGAGCTCACGGATGCGAATAGTGGACGATTACCGTCTCAGCAAGGTGAACAGGAACGGCTAAAGCGGCTAGCTCACCAAAGACAACGAACATAGTAGACTTCCGTGTAACTACCAACAGTGTGGGCACATTCACCTCTTGTTCTTGAGTTGGCAGGTTTTGTGAGAGTCAAGGAGTCGATTTAATTTTAAGATTTACAAGAGATTCAGAGCCCGAGAGATCGGACTCTAAACCTTGTTTATTTCATAAGAAAATCAAATTAAATGTCAAAACAGACAGTTCTAGTGCAACATAGCAATCATCAAACCTTAGTCGATGACTACTGATTAAATTATTTGATTTGCTATCGTTTTCGGCCACTAATCAAAGAGACCGCTTTTCCATACATTTTAGACACATATGAAATCTGATAGGTGTCCAAGCATTGCAGATCTACCCCATTATGCCTGACCGGGGTCTTGCACAGTCAGGCGCCTAGTTCGCGCATCATGGGCCTTGGGCGCCCGCGTCTGAGCGGATTATAACTTTTAGGGAACACTTACCCAAACGGAAGAGTGATACATACCGTCACAGGAGAGCCACATGAACCAGGAAACCAGCACTTATTTGGGACCAAACCAACCCCAGAAAGAAGAAAGATCGAAAAACCTGATGATGGAAAAACGAAGTGCAAAGAGTCCTGAAGGAAAAGAGGAATCGGTACAAGCAATGTGTCAGATATACCGTCAGCAGCGGAGGATTCTGCAAAGAAGGCCAGACTGGTGCGCACCTTGAAACTGGAGTTCCGCAATGGAGAGTGAGATATATTGGAGGTTGAGAAGAATGATGAAGATGGAGAACTTACTTTCCAGGCATGGCCACCACAGGTACACCTTCAAATCTGGTCCTATACAAGGACTAATATCAGCAATCACGAAAGAGAAGGTATGTTCAGCTCTGAGAAAAACAAAGAATGGCAAAGCGCCTGGACCAGAAGACATAGCGACATCTAAAATATGTGACAATCCGGAGCCTGGCGGCTAATAAGTCTCCAAGGAGAAAGAGAAGGAGGAGGAGGATGAGGAGGAGGAGAAGAAGGAGGAGCAACAGTATCCCTCGCTACTGGTCAGCACAGCGGTTCGGATATTTGAGAAGTATCATACTAACCAATCAGACGGATGAGCTACCTCCAGAAACCTCAAGCCAATAATTAAAACGCGACTTCGACATATTGAATAGTTATCATTTAATCAGCGCGGATTCGTGAAAGGGGTAGGCACAGCCGACGCATCCAATTCGCTCTCATAGCGATGAGAAATGTGAAGAGAAGCAGAAGGAGTTGCGTGGGGCTTTTCTGAGCCTGAGGAAAGCCTTCGATAAGGCGCTCCGTGAGGTCAGGTCGTTTACGGATACGTATGGTGCCAGAGGAGTACTTCATTGGATAAAATTGATAACTCTACTATGACACTTTGAGTCACGTGCAAACAGTCGCAGGGCGATTGATAGAGTTCCAAATAGAGAGTATACCAGGGTTCATTTTTCTCTCTCTTACTTTTCTTCACTGTGATGAACGCCGTGATGGGTCCAACTGGACATCTCTCTCTCAGATGCTGTGATCTTGGTAGGAAGTTCTATGAAGGAGTTGCAAGACAAAACTGTACAACATGCAACTGTACAAAACTGGAAAAACAGGCTAGAGTTGTATGGCTTGAGGCTCAACAACAGGGAGACAGATTATATGGGAGTCTGGACATAAACTCCAGGTACAGAATTGATGGTGAAGGGCTGAAGAAGACAAGCTCATACAAGTACCTGGCTAGTCATATCTAAGCTTGGGGAGGTCACCGAGAGCAGGTCGTAGACAGGAAGGTGTAGCATGAATCAAAAGAATGGCTTACAGGAGTTTTGTGCGGCAAGAAAATACCACTTCAACTGAAGTCTCAAATGTATAGCCGCTTCATCGCACGCAAAGACTGTGGACGTATCGGCGTCTTTCTGATCACTCGCTTTTTCGTTTCTTTTACCACCTGCTGTCTCTCTCATGCATGAGCTATCTTGGTCAAACGAACGGCGTACAGTCTTTGCGTGTAATGAATCTCTGGTAATGTACCATTAACTGTCCAGCAGCAATGTTTGTTAAGCGCGTTTAGCGTCATGGAAACAAGATTGCTGCGATAGACATTAGGTAACTCACTAAAGGACCGCATCTGCAGTGACATTACACGAGCCCAAACAAGAGTCTTCAGTTGCCCAGAAAAGGAGAAGAGATTATGGTGGTACGGCCTTGTGCGCAGAAGGGAGGAAGGCCGCAAACGGTTAGTCTTAAAGGTGGAGGCACCAGGAGAAAGATCTAGGGTAGACCCAAGATGAGGTGAAGGACAGAATCAAGGCCGACCTGCGAGAGCTTGGAATCAGTGGCGGACCGAGAAGGGCAGGAGGGGGGGGGGGCATCAGGTGACTTCTTCTTTCTTGTAAACAATTAAAATAATTTTTGAGATTTTTGGAAATCTAAACTATAGCCTTATAAAAAAAATTTCTTCGGGGTTATGGACCCACAATATTTTTGAAAAGCACCCCGAAAATTTTTTCGGTGTCCTTTCTCCCGGATGACAATCCTGCGACCGCCACTGCTTGGAATGAAGAAAAACCTTGCTTTAAGAAAGACATGGAGACACCTGACAAGAAAAGCACACCTATGCAAGGATAAAAAAAATTCACAAATTCTATTTACAGGATAAAATCTCAGAACTTTTAAAAAAGTGAGGTTGTCAACCATGATTATTTTGCTTCCAAAAATCTAAAAATTTGGCCAATTGCGATGTGGTGATCATGGCGACCCAGACATATGAGCATCAGCCATCAAAAAGCTACCTGGAATATGCCAGGAGCGCAATCGTCGAGAGCTTCGTTATAAGCGAGGTCAAATTTGGAACTATTCAGTATAGATAGCATTTCTTTGTCCTCTATTAAATCTGGAAATCGGATTACGATATCACCAGATTAACATTGAACTAGCTTACCTTTGCAGTAGTTAGCGGTCAATTCAAGCAATAAAACAAATTCATCCATGATGATTGGAAGATCGCGCGAGGTTAGCGTTTCCCATATGGAAGTTGTTTTCACACTGTATGACGCAGAAGCATTTTGTGCTTCCAAAAAGTCTATGAGAAAGCAAAACCCACGTTTTCAAATATCCGTCACCGATATTTTTTGCAGAGAATGTAAGCGTATGTGCTGGAAGGCGATTGTGGAACGCTTTGAGTTTTGGTTCAATGACGGGAGAGAATATCGTCTGCAAAAAAGATGAAGAAGTTTCATTATACCTATGTACAAAAACAAAAGGGATGCCTCTTCGTCCTCCCCTTACCCGAACGGGATTGCAAACTTTTTCAAAGCGGTTTAAGTGACTCTAGAACTGTGCAAGTGACTGTCTTCCTTTTGATAGTTTGAGCTTTCGGAAAATTTCGAAAATTTCATTTGGCTGTGTAAGATTTTGTTCGGACTTTTTTTTTCAAAGAGCTGAAAGCATGCAAATCTTGCAAGCTTCTCAAAAACATTTTTGTGAGACGCCAGCCCTTAGACTGAAAAATTTGGAATCTGTGTCGCTTCTCCTCGTCCCCTCCGAAATTTCCCAGTTATCAGCGAAGGATGCAAGAGAGAGGGGAAGATGGGCTGGAAGTTTTCTGAGAGGATGTCAAAATGTTTTGGTCTATAAGTTAGGATTGCATAAATAAACTGCTTTCATTCCCAATCACAAAAATCTACATTTTTACCGCAAAAGTCACGAGATTGCTAAAAGATCGAAGACCTTCCAGAAAAATCCCATATGGCAACGGGCATAGTGTCCACGATTTTGTTGCCGCGATTTCATCGCTGGGGAAATCGGCGGTTTGGGCGACGAGATCGCGACAACGAAATCGTCCGTCGCGCGTGCATGGGCATAGTGCGCGCGATTTTGTATCTTTGCAAAACACAGGGCAGGTGCACGCAAACTGAGCAGACTGTTCTCGTGCGTTATGCGTTATCCCACTCACTTCACTCTCCGCATAGAATCCCTAATGTCGATAGTGATGAAATCGAGTACAAAGAACTCTCACATTTTGTCCACCTTTCAACAAATCCAATTTTCACGAGCTTACCAGTTCTTAGCATAGTGGATCTAACCTGAGAATGTCGGCCCTTGCGAGCCAAGAGCTAATATTAAGACACTCTTCACCAAATTTTTAGGTGAAACAAGCTAGTACGTGGATTTTGTAGTGCTTTAGCGAAGACCCACATTAGACACCTTTTCGAAAAGTCGAGCACAGCATCCCTGCGAAGATAACGAAAAAACAAGCATAAACGTTTGGTATTGGTAAGGAAGAGAATTCTGTTCTTATACGGATAGCGAAACGTAAGAATATGCAAACAAGCAGAGTGATAATGTATTAACTCTGCGAGAAGCAAAGACTTCAACACAAAAGAAAACAATCCAAAAAACCATCTCGTCAAAAATGCTTACACTTTCGAACAAGTCATCCGACAATTTAAGGTTAGGAAAAGGCGTCGAAGTTAGAAGTATCGTTGTACATACAGTTCAAACAAGTTCCATTTCTTTTTCAAACAAAAACAACTGAAACATCAGCGCCTGTCTATAAAAAATCCCCAGGATGTTCCCCGCACCTCAGCGATATCGCCCAGTCGCCCGTGCAGCACGCGCGACGCGACATCGCTGGGTTTTGCCGAAATCGCGGCGATTATCGCTGCAGAACTATGCCTTAGCTAGAAAGGGTCCGCGATCCGTCGCGCCGGACGAGTATCACAAGCGACGTAGCAGACACAAAGACATGCAATGAGTGCGTAACAGTTGTCGTAATTCAGAAAACGCAGCGCGACGGTATCCTGGACACTATGCCTTAGGCCTATGGCGCCATGTGTCATGTCGTCGTCTCTCCCACTCCAGCCCGCATTTTCCTCGCATATTTTTCTTGATCTATGCAAAGTACTTCTAACAAGTACAGGGAAGAGACTTACCACATTGTGACCATCGGCTGTCAGTACATCAGCTACATTTCCAAGAAATTTTACATGACAGTAAGCAATTGTGGGATTCCATATAAGTATGTTAGCGGTGTATACCAAATTTGGTATTACTGCGCAAATTAGAACGAAATAGTACATTTATTAGGAAAACCAAATTGATTGCTCGTTCAGGGAAAATGTACACAGTTTATTTATAGTAATGATTCTAAATGAAGTATAATTTTGAAAATGAAAAAGCTCTCTTTTTTTGCATATTTATCTAACGCCGTTGACAGCTACGATAGCGAACCTTTATTTGACAAGATAATAAAAGGAGTAGCACTTTTGAATGAGCACATAAGCGATCCTTTAGAAATACTACTTTAGGAACTAAATATTTTTCCGCATATGCTAGATATGTAAAGTTAAGCTTTCTTCGAATCTCAAATCGTCAAAGTTTTAGGGAAAAAGTACCTAGAATGATGGTATGGATTTTGCAGGGTGACGTTTTTGAAAAACTAGCTAAAAATTTTTTGTAATTCAATCCTGGTGGACTGCTCAAAGTTCTCAAGAGATATCACTTATTATCAGCGCTTTGTTCGTTCTATATGTAAATATCAAATAGCTAGACACATTTGTTCTAACTACATTTTGATAAGTATCCAAGTCACACAATATCACAAGTACAGTACAGAGGGCACTTAGTATAGATCAGGTGGTTATTAATGAATTCTGCAACAACAGTCACGAAATGAAGTTTTTTGGTTACTGTCATCTGTCAAAGTTTTCATCGGCTTGCATCGCCCATGAATGTAAGTTTTCGTGCTTATTTGTTTGTTCATTTCATTGCACAGGATGTGCGCCAACAGAGTCAAAAAGTCTGGGTAAAATGGTTAGGAAAAACTAAGAATAAAAACGCAACACAAAATTATCTTTACTCAAATATGTAGTGAACTAATTAGTGCTACTACCAAGCTAACATGAAACGATAGCATGCAAATTGATTACCTTTACTGAGCTGATCTATATTAGTGAGTACAAAATGTCAAGCGGTAAATAACCATAGTTTTACGAATTCAAAGAAAACCATTCATTTAGATAGGGAGCAACAAAGGGCTGATAGGGTGAACTAACTCATTGGAAGTGGTTACTTTCACATATCACTTTCCACTTTTGCCACCAAATCTAACATGAAAGAGGGAGGACAAGGCAAACGGGCCAAACCGCACTTCCGGCTAACTCAATAAGCTCACCCTAGCTCCGCTGTATTATGAAACATTGCTTTAGAAATGCTCAGTATAATTGTATAATTTCACATTCTAGTCCCTACTACTCTAAGCCAAAACTCAATTTTTCGGTGCCGCCACAGCTTTTAAGGGGTTGTCACATCCCATTAACTATATCAAAAAAAAACATTTTTAGCGAACAGTATTTATATGAATCGGCTTAAATCTCCTAGATTCCATAGGAGTGATTTGAGCCTGATTCATCTTCTTAGCTCCGAGTAATATTCGGTAAAATCACAGCTTTCAAAACCGAAAAATGGGAAAAACGAGATTTTGATTGCCTTCTAAATCCATAGTTTGGAGGTCTTTTGAAGCGGGATTTCTGGCATGGACAGTGAAGGAGTAGTGCTTCGTTTTAAGTGCAAAAATCAATAACTAATTCACCTTTGAAACAAAGTTAATCATGTTGAAAAATGACTATTTCACTTAGGCGGCTTAGTATCATGAAACTTCAGAATTCGCTCAAACTTTGTCTACAGGGGTTGATTAACATATTAATTATGGATATGTTGTCGTTATGCTTAACAGGACCTTTAAGTAAAGCTATCTTAGGTACATGGTTCAGGAGGGGGGGCGGGTCTTATTGACACAGCAATTAGGGGGAGGGGGGGTCGTAACCAGTGATCGTGTGCCACACCTCTTGCTTGACCCTGCTTCTAACCCCCGGAAGTCCAACGTGGAAAGTAGCCCGTTCATCTCCCCTTACAGCTTCCATCTTCAAGCCCACCTTCGTCAGAGCCCGCATGCCGCAGGTAAGCATAAGGGTCCCGCAACGACTGTGTCTTCGCCGTGAGCTTTGCGACCACTAGTTCCATGTTTAAAGTAGTCGATGGCTTTGGAAAATGCTCTTCTAGCCAGTTTCGTGCTCCAGGGTGGCTATTCGAAATCAGCGCAGCGGATTATCCTAGTTAAGCAATAAACAGGTGCTTTAAGAATTTGACGAGCCACTGACATTAAAGGGAACGCCTTGGCAAAGTTTCGCTTTTCATTTTCTCACGTACTCGGAGCCTTGTCGCCATGTTGAGCTCATAATTGGGCTTTTCAGCGCATGAAAATTGTCGCGGATGGGGATCCCCAGCTCTAGACGTCAGTAAGGTGCTCTTCATTGGCGACAGGAGCTGAGGACGCCATCTGTGAAATGCGGTAACGACACGAGGAGAAAGGTAGCGTGCTTGGTCATGCATTTATGGCCTGCCACGAACACAAATACGCTAAACACGTCAGTGACCCTAAACTGCCGACCTACCTCCAAATCCTACTGCCAGCTATCTCATGCAGAGACAACAATGTACTTGTGTATCATAAGCAACTTAGCCACTACTATCTACGACAAACACTGCGATCCAGAAGTGCACACCATTTATTCCTATTTCGCAACACACAAAACAACTCATTGCAATGGACAGAGTACATACCGGAAAAGATGTTAGGGGTCGGTAAAAAGGAAACCTCCTGTGGGTTGCTCTTTTGCCGTATGGAAAGCGAGGGCTCACCACAGAGTAGTCGGTGCGGCACGCCAGTCCTTCAAGCGTGGTGATGTTGAACTCGCATGGGTTGGAAGTCGCGATTGATAAATTGACAGTTGAGGTTGAAGTTGGAGCCGACCGCTCGCTGGTAGGGTTGTTTCATACTGCAGTCGCTGCAGCACTGACCGTCGATCGATCGATATTTTTTGCCCGCCCTCATATGATTGCAGTTGCTGCAGCGACTGCAGTATAAGCAACCCGTAGATAAGTAAGAATGTGATTTTTACAAGGTGAGGGGATGTTTGTATGCGGGCGCCAGAGGTAAAGGGCGCGGGACTGGCGTTTTGGGACTTCTGCGCGGCGACGGCGAAATCCTTTATATAAGTCTACGCGGCAATAATAGCAAAAATGAGCTTTTAACAAAGCTCTCCATGTCCGCATTCGCTGGAAAATACGTGCAAATGGGCATCCGGAACGAAGGGGAGAGTTTCGGAGGATTTCGGAATGGATCTTACGGTTTCCACATGGGCTTTCTCGTGCTCCAGACTTCACCGATATTAGTAGGGGTCTGCCATTGCAGTGTTATAATCTCATTACCCATCACTTTGCCGGGACGCTGCATTTAAAGGATTGGCATTCGCGGCTTGCAGTATATCTACGGTAGGAAGTATAAACTGCGCAGATGTCTACTATGTTTATTGAAATAAAAGCATGCAGCAGCAAAATTGATAATTTGATGACCAAAGCTGTATCAAATACCTTTTCTACGAAGTATGATGACAATTCATAGATTTACAATATCTGCGTTTCTTCCAAATTGCGATGCATTTTCTGGCCCACAGCAGCTCTACTGTGGATTTGATTGACTACAAACCATCTACGGTGATATGGAATCAGAACTCACGATTTTGGATCTAAAAACTGATTCCCTTTATATGCGAAAATTATGGTTTTGACAGAGTGTTTCCTTAGAAGCGAAAAACCGTTGCCGATTTGTGAAAGGATCTCAATATGCAAAACCAAACTTTGTAGAAGTGTTGTGGATTCTTTCCTTTCACCAACTTGTACACAAATTGAGATATGATGTTCATTAGCACAGAAACATATATAAGACTCAGGATTCATATCAATCGCTTGGAGACTAATTCAGATATTTACTTCATATTCGAAGTCTTAAATTAAGTTGAACCGAAAGTTCGTTCGCACCTTTTTCAAAAAATTATAACTTCTTGGTCTACTAAGACAAAATGCAGAGGTGGATCGGATTTCCCTGAAATCGACAAAAGTGGATTTTTTATTTTTTTTTCCTGTAATTGGTCATGTAAGAATGTAGCACTTTCTCGATGAATTTTTCTGTGTCTCTTCACGACTCCTTTTGCATTAATAGAAATTCTTGATGGATGGCAGATGGATACTTCTAGCCTAGAACTCAATTTGGAGCTTATCTTGTTGATTGATATTCTTTTGTTTTTCAATACGTCTTGATGAAGAAGTGACCAATGACAAGAAAAAAACAGCAAAAAATTCTAGTCGCATCGGTTTTATGGAGTTCATCTACCGCTGCACGTAGCAAGGATAAACTGTGTAAAGATTACACTGTGTAAAGAATATCATTTGGGTCCATTCCACTTTCTTTCAGTACTTTCTGGAGACCTTGCTTTTGAAAATTGGCAAATTGAGTAATTCGGTTCAACTGCTTTTATCTCTCGCATTTTCTCTCAATGGTTTATGACAAAGCAAAGTTGTAGAGAAGATTTTTTCTAGTTGATAGAATTGCAAAGTGATTTTTTGGTAAAGTAAAAACATGCTTCCAGCTCAACCTAATATCAATGGAAAGACTGTCAGAAAATTGGTTTTCAATCTAAAAGGAGAATGCATTGAATGTAGGCATAGAAAATGCAACAGTGCGCGTCAAGAATGAGATTGCGACGAATAAAGACCTTTAAGTCTCTATAACTTTTGAAAAAGTATCGAACTTCACTGATTGCAAAGCGCTAACAAAACTTAAGCCTCGCTACCAAAATCAAATCTAATCTTTCTTTAACTTGGGGACAATAAGCTTATAAATCATCCTAAGAAGCAAAAATATCAAGTACGTTATGGCTGCTATCACAAGTGCTATAAAGCCTATGACATCCAAACAGTAGTACTGCACGAAATTCAAGTTTCTCGAATGTAGTATCAAGTGATCCATTTTGCCATGCTCGATGATGATCTTGGCCCATTTGGCGATATCTTTGCGATAGTGTTGAGACCGGCCTTCAAGCATCGATGCAACAAAAGCAGCTTTCTTAGCAAATTTTCTAGAATTTTGAATTGTTGTCTCTTTTATTCTATAACAGAGAAGACCAACCTATTGCCAAGCATTTCTCGTAGAGCCTCCGTCAACGTATGCTTACTAAGCTGATTTTTTTCAATTACTATAGCAATGCCGCTTTTCTGTACAAGTTTTGCGTTGTAATACTGATCGCCAAACAGTGGGACTACGATCAGCGGCTTTCCATGGTATGTCTTAAGCAAGTTCCTCAAACACATGAAGAAAACTTTCGTATACATTACCGCTTCTAACAGTGAATTCATGCCACCGTGTGTGACGAAAAGTGAAAGTCGTTTGTCCGCTAAAATTTTAGAATCATGTAAAGTCGAAAATTGAGGAACTGAAAATTTTACCTAACAAATCGATCTGAGGAATCCACTTCAACGGAAATACATTTGGGTGTGCTTTGAAGGGAATGTCGTCGCCTTCGTATTTCCAAATAAACGTTACATCAGGAAATGAATCAAAAGTCTCCAATACGTCTGAAAAAAGTTCGAGAGATAGGGTGGACTGCAGGAAGCTCGTGATGTATCACCGCTGCGTTTTAAATACTCCCCCTCCCCTCCTTCCTTCCTTCCTCCACTATCTCGTCTTTAAATGCCCGCGCGTTCATCTCAGCGGAGCTACCTACAAGTAAGCTCCAGGAAGAGAGTATTGCGGATCATATAGTTGTGATTCTAAGGCCCGTATGCACTAACATTTTTGCGGCGAGGGGAGCGGCGTCCCCCGTTATGAAGGGACCGCGTGCGGACGGCTGCGGCTTTTCATCATTGGGGACGCCGCTCCCCTCGCCGCAAGGATGTTGGTGCATGCGGCCCTAAGTGTCATGTTGGAGTCGATGAATTTTATATTGGGGACATTGGAATGAATTAGAGAATAACAATTACTATTGGCTCATGAATAGGCAAGGTCCACGCAAGTGTGGAGATATGAGCCTCTTTCGCACGGGAGGCCTTCAATAAGCTGCTGGTCAGGGGGGCTTTAACTCATTCATATCAAGAAATTCCACTTCAAATTCCGGCCCAACCATACTTTTAGCTAATTTGAGGACGCTAATTGGTCCGCTCGAAAGGAGTACGTTTCTGCGAAAGACTAGAGATAAAATTCCTGGCTAGTTGTGAATCATACGAGCAGATGCATGAGCAATGGTTTGGCTGAATCGCAAATATTTCGAAAAGATCCCGGAAACCCAATTCCCTGAGCAATTGGCTTTGAGCTCGTTCGGATCAGCATGAGTAATTAGAGTAAAAAAATAAGATACTGCCTTTTTTGAGCCATTCGGGCATGTCCACAGATCGAGCAACAGATCCCATCGAGAAAAGCACCGTCATCTTTCTTTTATCCAATAAGTCATCCATTTCCTAAGACACTATGATAAATCTCAGCATGCTCCGGCAAGATACTAAACGCATGGACTACAATAATTGTATCTCTTCTAAAAAGTTTATAACTACAAGAAACGATAGACAGCGATCTTGATGAAGGTCTGGGCTTCCAAATTATTCTTCTGAATGTGCTTACCTTTGTTAAAGATTCCGCCCGAGCTAGAGTTGATCCACCAACATACTTTATCATATTCGTTGTAGGACGAGGAGTTTCAAAAAATTCATGCACGTTGATCATAATTAATGCTGTTCTCTCCTACAAAACAGCTTATGCTGCGCTTTTTTTGGAAATGAGATAACGTACTTACCGTATAGATCTCCTGCGGAGTTGGGAATCCTGGATATTTTTCACTGAATAATTGACTGAATCGCTGATCCCAATTCTTCATGTGCTGGTCAAATTGTATATTGATTATAAAGTTTCTTAATCTCTCTTTGAAAGTCATCTCATCCGAGTAGGGAGTAACTGGACCTGGAAAATCTCACCGATGAAATGCTTTTATCACTTACCATGCTACACTTGAAATAAATTTAGAAATAATAACGTTTAATATATAACTGAAAGGCGAAAACTTTAATTTCTGATTCTTATCTGTTGGGTTTTAACCTGGCACAAAACTAGGAAGTTGACGTAGTCCAGCCACCTCATAGAGTCGCGGCACAGCAAGCGCAGCGGATAGTAGGACTACATTTTTTATATCTAGAATCTGGAAATTCGATTATAAATTGATTAGCCGGAAAAATAACCTTGTCAATTACCTCAAATATGCCTGGAGCGCATAGATCCAATGTTTCCGTATAAGCAAGTTCAAACTTTGAATCTTTCAAAAAATCCATCAGTTTTGAATCTTCTAGGATTTCTGGAAAAATATAGAAATACGTGATAGTGACCTGCCTGTTGCTGTTGTTACCTCTGCAGTAATCTAGGTTCCGTTGAGCCATCAAATCAAAATCACTCCAGCTAAGGCAGACATCGGTACATGTTGGAGCTTCCCACAGTGACGTAGATTTGAATCTTTGAAATTAAGTAATCATGCCCTTGAAAAAATGTTGGTTTTATTGAAGGCAGCGTCTAGGCAAATCTGGACGTATAGGGATCTCACGTTAACAGTAATTCTGGGACGTTAAGGCTAGGTTATATTAATCCTTATGTTCCAAAATTATTTCAGCACAGTTCCCCCACAGTTCCCGCACTGTGCTGGAATTGTTCCGGAACTGTGCTACATGCGCTGCAAGCAGGGTCAAGCAACGGGTGTGCCACACGATCGCTGGTTGCGACCCCCCTCCCGATTGCTGTTTTAGTAAGACCTCCCCCCCCCCTGAATTATATACCTAAGATAGCATTACCTGAACGCCCTGTCAAACATAATGGGCAACATATCCATAATGAGCATGTCAATTAACCCTGTAGACAAAGTTTGAGCGAGTACTGAAGATTCAAGATACTGGGCTACCTAAGTGAAATGGTCATTTTCGGCGCGGCAAAAATTTTTTTCAGATGAAGGTGCGTGGCGTCAGCCACGCACTAAGAAAAATTTTTAGGGGGGCTTCTCAAAATTCTCAAAAAATCCCCCGACCCCCCACGCCCCCGAAAAAAATTTTTTATAAGGCTAATTTGAATTTTTAAAAAATTTTAAAAATTATTTTAATTGTTTACAAAAATAAACAAATCACTTGCACATTTTTATAACTCATGTAAGTAACTTTCAAAAATTTCGCGACCCGTTCTCGGGGGGGGGGGGGGCGCGCCTTTTATGCTATTATCAGATTACCCAACTACGATCCCCTCCCCTTTTGACTCCTCAATACGACCTCCCAAGTGTGGCGTGCCACACCCCACGCTTACCCCGGCTGCAACGGCCCCGCAAGCGTTCTGAACGGCGGGAGTTGGAGAATTTTGACAGCTTTCAACGGTTTTTCCTCTCATCTTGGCTTTATTCCTCTATCGCGCTTCCCTTTTTAATCAGAAGAACTTCAAACTCGAAGCGGGTTTGAAGAATGAGCGCTTTGCTGCTTATGCGACAAAAAGTGTGTTCTTGTGTTCGTTCATTTTCTCTTCGCTTTATTTTTACTTATACCTATTCCATTTGTTCCAGGAAGCCGCTGCGTAATTTCGATAGCTATCTGCCATGAGTTGGGGAGTGCGAGCAATTCTGAAATTGCATGAAGTGGGACTTTTGTCTTTTTTAATGGGTTTCATTCTCGGGCATTCTCAGCCCCTTTCCTTTTTCTATATCGTTGTTTCTCCGTTCTTTCTTCTACCCCTTCTAACAGTGATGAGAATAGATGCGAACTTGAAGCGGGGTTTAAGAAAAAAACCTTGCTCTGTTCCATGTATCCGGAAAGATTGCTCTTCGTGCACTCCTCCATCCTCTCTTCCATTTTTGTTCAGGCCTACTTCATGTGTTCTTGAGACCTGTCTATGTCCCTTTCAATACAGATGCGAGATACACAACGCCTTTCTAGAACACATGAAGTAGGTCTGAACAGAAATAGCGAAGAGAGAATGGACGAACGCACGAAGGCTCATCTTCCTGGATACACGGAGCAGGACAGCGTTAAATCTTAACCCCTCTTTTAGTTTGCAGCTTTTCTCAGCACAAGGAGAAGCGGGGTAGAAGAAAGAACGGAGAAGCAGCGATATTGAGAAAGGAAAGGGGCTGAGAATGCCCAAAAACGAAACTCATCAGAAAACAAGAGGAAAGTCTCAATTTATGCATTCTCAGAATTGCACTCCCTAATTCATGGCAGATAGTATGGAAACTAAGCATCGGCATTCTGGAACGAATGGAATAGGTCTGAGTAAAAATAAAGCGAAGAGAAAGTGGGCGAGCACAAGAACACACGTTTTATCGCACAGGCAGAGGCAGAAAAGTGTTCAACCCCAAGTCGAGTTCAAAGTTCTGTTGTTCAAAAAAAGAAGCGGGATAGAGGAATAAGGCCGAAATGAGAGAAATGTGGAAGAAAGACCGTTTAGGTCAAAATTTTTCAACTCCCGCCGCTCAAAACGCGTGGGCGGCTGCAGCGCAGACAGCACGGTTACGGAACAGTTCCAGCACAGGCGGGAACTGTGCGGGAACAGCTCCGGAACATGAGAATCAGTATGAACCCAGTCTAAGACACTGCCCAACCGGCAGCTCAGATGGTGTTCTAGCGGTTGAGATATTCGCCTCCGAACTGCACCCAGAATCGTATTTCGTATGGATTCACGGCGCGACACATCTTTGCGTGGGTCCTTGCGCGCAAGCAAACAATGCAAGTCCGATAGTACGATCCTGGCGTCCGTTTTGTAGACGTATATCTCAGGTCTTTGCGCTGCCGCTTGGGTCGTGCCTTAGTTAGGGCCCCACAGTTTACTGCCTGTCATAAAATAGGCCCCATAGGTCTAGATTTGCCTGGACGCTGCCTTTAACCAAAAAATCTCACGGTTTTACAAAGTCATCCGAGGTTTTCGATGATGTAAAACTGATTGTCCTTGCCGGCAGGTGGTTTCCAAAGGGTTTTGTGTTGGGATCCAATATCGGTGAAAAGATGGTCTGCAACGCGCAGGCTTAGTCTGAGTAGTGGAGTGAAGTGGATAGCCTGGTTTAAATAGTAGTTTCACGAGATCCTTTCGAATTTATTGGATTTCTTTACAAGTATCCGAAGGCAAAGGTGAAATTATCGCTCTCCTTTTACATTCGTCATATGTAGAAAAATCATCAGAGCATATTTTTATTGCTGTGCTATCCAGCAAGATATATATTGGTAGTACAGATGAAGCGACATTCCAAATTTCGGTAATTGGTACCGGAAAAGCCTCGAGCTAAGGTACAATAATTAAGTACTGTTTTTTTTCTACTATTTTCATTATAAATTGAGTTTATCAGAGACTTTATTAGGTGCAAGAGAATGTTGATTGAAAAAAATTTATAAACATAATAGTCTTAGACAAAGTCTAATAAGCACATCTCTCGTTAAGAAGAGTAAGTTGTGAAACCACAATCAAAAGTAAATGCGAAGTTTGTGTCTAGCATTCTTAACGATCAACTATTACAGCCTTATTGAGTTACCAACTTGTACCTCCGTTATTGCCAACTGGATTTTTGCTTAAAACAACTAGAAAATGCATAAATTTTCCTTTCCAAGCTACTCTGAACAGAACGTCATTAAACTTGAAAAAATTACTTGAATTTCAACTAGGGGTTCATGGATTGATTTAAGAAAAATAGCAATTTCCAGAGTCCACTTCTGCAATCAAAATAGTTCAATATTGCTCACAAGCAATGCTTAATTGCAGAGCTCAGTAAATGTGCGCCCTCTTTAATGGCGAAGAAGATGTGAACATAAGTAAAAACGGTACTTTTCCGTTATCCGGACCCATTTTTTCAAAAGGCTCTCATAAATAGGCCCTTCAGTCTAGGAACAATTTTTTATAGATTCCACGAGGGCTGCCTCCCTGCCACTTGTCGGAAAATATTAATATTAGGTCATTCCGAAAGTAATTTCGCTTTTTTCAAACGGGCGCCACATTTGAAGGAAGAAAGGTTTCTAAGAGATCTTGGAAGCATTCGATGCAAAATTTCATTCACTTTCTAACGGTTATGAAAATGCTGCAAAACAGTCAACGAGCTTTCAGAAAACAACCAAAATCTGCGACCCATGCTTTTTGAGATGGTAAAGTTACGCGATTTTTTGAAACTTTCATATCAGTCCTCAGAAGGAGTTCAAATAACGGTTCGATAGAGTAAACCTTGCAGAATTCAGTACTGCTTTTTTCTCCTTTGCATAGCTTGTCATACATTTTCAACAGAATTTTAACTGATGCTATCGATTTTCATACTTGGGCAGCTAAATCCTCGTAGATAGAACATCAAAAGAAGAGCAGCTCGCGCACTATTCAATTAAACATTTACTACTCTTTCTAACAGGTGTTTTTTGTTTCCGATTCGTTTAGTTTCCGGGGAGAAATCTCGTGCAGTTTTTTAGCGAGCCCCAGGCTGTATCTAAACTCGAAATTTGATATTTCGAACCCATAAACCCTCACCTGCTTTGTAAAATTAATGCTGGCTCATAATACCATCTTGGTAGTCTCAAATTACGAAAAGTTATGATGTTTGATGCGATTTTGGCTGAGGAGGGCCTGCCAAAATCCGATGGTTCTGTTTAAAAATCTTTTAAAAAATTGCGGCGAGCTGCGAGAAAGAGAAAAAGTAGTACTGTACTCTGTAAGGTTTACTCTATCGAACCGTTACTTGAACTCCTTCTAAGGACTGATATGAAAGTATGAAAAAATCGTGAAACTTGACCATCTCAAAAAGCATGGGTCGCAGATTTTTATTTTCTGAAAGCTCATTGAATATTTTGCAACATTTCCATTACCGTTAGAAAAAGAATGAAATTCTGCATCGAATGCTTCCAAGATCTCTTAGAAACCTTTCTTTTATCAAATGTGGCGTGAAAAAAGCGAAATTACTTTCGGAATGACCTAATACATTTTGACCCATTTTGACGTCTTTTCTTTTCGAAATCATTTCCATTGAGGTAAAAGCACATTTTTTATTTTTTTTATTTATAACATTTTTTCCTAAAAGCTGTTTAATTCTTTCCTATAAGATCAAAACAATCTAGAACTTGTATTAGAACATTTTCACCGATATCAGCAATGATTCAGCATTTCTTTTTCAAACTTTTCGCCTTGCGAATTTAGCCACACAAGATTATAATGATGGCTTGAAGTTTCTCGCTACTGCTTGTTCTGTCTTAAATGATAGCCTTAGATGATAGCACCATAGCCCACTTCTCTATTCTGGGCAAGTCTAATTTGTTTACTAAACACAGAATGACGTTAATGATAACAGTATTCATTTTTGATACTGTTCAATCAAAAATGGGGTTACTAATAAATAAAAAAAAACAGCTCAACTTACGTCGCTGGGTAGGGAAACTCAAACTCTTGGTGAACCTGTTGAACAAGTAAATGATCTGCCATATTTTTCTTTGAAACGTGGCAGGAAGGTTGGCACTTCTTTTTGTGAAGTTGGGACCAAATATGGTAAAAGGGAAGAAGCTACCCTTCTTTGAAAAAAATGAGTCCGAATAACGGAAAAGTACCGTAAAACATACCACATTATGACCAGCAGCTGTGAGTACGTCAGCTACGTTGCCCGAAAAACTTGTGTGACTGTGAGAAAGTGTAGGATTCCAGACTAGAATATTAGAAGCATTCGCCAATTGCAGCAGAAATAGGGAGACTACGCTTCTCAGAAAAAGAAGCATTCGTCATGGACGTGCACTATCGCATTGATAAGAAGTGCTTGACAGCAGAGCAGCAAAATTTTTTGACAGAGACACAGTGTCTTAAAATCTGGTTTTGTTCTGTGAACAGGTTTGATTCTAATCGATCACACTGATCTGTTAGGTCGCACTTGATTCGATAAAAGGCTGTCCATTGCGCTCTTTCGCAGAGTCAAATTTCTTAGCAAAATATATTCCAATAGAAATTGACCATCAGAAATTTTTTTAGGAGGCAGCAGTATATATGGTTTGCAACAAGCGCTACGCGTATGTCGAAAAATCAGGATTGTTTGAAATTTTTCGTTCCATTTATCATGCAGAAAAGCGCAAATCCGCAATTACTTACAGCACAATTTGCGAATAAGCGTAATTTCCTGCAGGCATATAGAAAGCATACTTCACAATATTAAGAGTTCATAAACCAGCGCAAAGAAACATGATATGTAGATTCTGTAAAGGAAAAAGCCAGAAAACATCCTTTCAAAAACTAATTAGTAATAGAAAAATTGAAAATGCTCAAAGTGGTCCCAAAGAGTTCAATAAATCTATTGTAAATATTAGGTTGGTGCAAAAGGAATGGCCGATTTTCCAAGCCTTTTTTCAGGGCAACTTCCCTATCAAATATTCTTCTTTACAATAGATGTAGTATACCATCGCGATGCTGTTTTCATGCTCTATCTAAAGGTGCTTAAAGGCAGTGTCTCACCAAAATTTAGTTGCCGAGATTTCTGCATTTTACAAATCTGTCGGACCTTATCTAGCACTGTATGGGCTTGAACTCGCACGAAGTTCCCAAAAACCCCGTTTTCTGGAGGCCCTGCGGAAGCAACGTGGACGAGTTGTACCTTCCAACTTCAGCTTCAACAACAGTGGCAGCAACAGAGGGGAGGTGGATGCCAAGTGGAGGGACATGTTCAAACGCGTAAGGGGGGAGACCGAAGGAGTCGTCCGCGCGTACCAACTCGCTCTCTGCGTACCACTATGAGCGAATTTTTCTCAGCGTGGAGGGGGTCAAATTGAGTGGGACTTGTTGCGATGGCCTAATTAGAGGTCCCTATAATAGAACATGTGAAGATCCGCGCGACCTCAACTCTGGTGAGACACTGCCTTTAAACGGGCTCTCATCATCATTTCTTGTAAAATTGCTGAGCTTCAAATAACCGCATCCAAATTCAGAATTTCACTGCATTCACTTTTCCGGCCAGAATTTAAGTGCGTATCAATGGGATTTCTTCGAAAATTTAGCTATCGTATGTAATAGAAATTGTCTACATTGTGCATACTCGACTGTGTTCTTTGAGGCTATCCAGACTGAGATATCAGCGCCTAAACATGGGTAGCTGTTGCGGTCATTCTATGACCCATAATTTTCTTCTGAAGAAGTCAATCGCCGGAACTTTGCTCAATTCTGTAAGCGTAAGGTTAGGGCATCCTGTTAGCAGTTTTTGCAAAAACATCCAGCTGTTCAGTATCTAGAAAATCAAAAAATTCTATATTCGGGACTTTGAGGCACACTGGAAAAATGTTCAAAAAAGTGAGAAATTTCAAATTTCAATTTTTTTCTTTTTCGCAAACTTTTCTATCCGAATTCTTTTTATTGCGTTTTGTACTACTGACTTGCGGCTACTTGCTTAACATTTATACTATCAAACTTTGAAGGAAGATATGAATTGTCAAAGACAAGGTTCTAGCAAAAAAACCTTTTTTATTTTTCAATCCATATTTTTCTGCCCGTTCGTGATATGAGTATAAATAAATGTGCGCTGCATTGCAGAGGGTTTGCTGCTTTTGATAGTTTTTACCGCATTCGGAAATGTGAATTCTTCCAAAAGTTATAGCACGTCAAAGTGAGAATTCGCAAATCGGCCATTCCTTTTGCACCAACCTAATAACATTTCAATGTGTTTAAGAATGCGAATATACTACAGTTTAACCATCTAAGTTTATCTGATGAAAACAGTATTTATGAAAGTTGCTCATGAATTGCAGTTTCATAGAAATTTTTGGATAATTGTTGGAAAAACAGCGCAAAGACTGTATCTAAATGTTCAGATAGATGTGCGGTGTGCGATGTGATGTGAGATGTATGTAATTACGCAATGTCTCTAGGCTCATCCATCAAGAACTAAAACGACTGATCAAGAAAGCGTAGTTCCGGAGCCTAATTGGCCGCTTATGGATAAGCACATGAATCTAACTAAGTTGAAATTATTCACCTAGTATACACTTCAATTGATTGTTAGAGAAAATCCTAAGCAACATATTAATGTTGAAAATGGACCAATTTCAATGTTCATTTGAGAGATTGGTGATGAAGAATCTTTAAAATATTGTTATCGCCACAGAAATGGGCATTGCGAAGACTTCAAGTTTCTCGTTGTTGACTCATAGTGGCACTAAGAGTTCGAATTCTAGGCTTCAAATTCTTTTTGCATTGCGCTTGTAAGTCTGAAGGAACATATTGGTATTACAGTCTAGTCAATTAAGTATAATATGTGTTGAAGGCAGGATGGCATTGTTGCGGAAACTATGAAAGTTCAAATCCCTTTAATTTTTTTACATAACAAGAAGTGTCGTATGTATCTACATCACTCAGATCGACTAAGGACAAGTTGATGCCTAATCGTGAGCCTAGCTTAACTGATGAGTATAAACTTATCAACAGGTTGTAATACTGTACAAAACTCAAGTTTCGTGAATGTAGTATCAAGTGATCCATTTTGCCATGCTCAATTATGATCTCAGCCCATTTGGCAATGTCTTTGCGATACTGTTGAGATCGGCCTTCTAGCATCGATGCAATGAAAGCAGCTTTCTCAGCAAATTTTCTTGAATTTGATATCTTTTGCCTCGATTACAAAAATAACAAAACTCAATGAAAGAAGAGATAACCTAGTGCTCAGCATTTTTCGTATGGCCTCCGTTAGCGTATTCCTCATTTCTCTCGATAACTCTAGCAATGCCGCTTTTTTGCACAACTTTTGCGTTATGATATTGATCACCGAACAACGGAACAACAATCAGTGGCTTCCCATGGTACGTCTGCAATTATTCTGTAAGGCTCACATGAGCAAAAGTCCTCCTACATCACTGACCGCTTCTAGCAATGAATTAATACCGCCGTGTGTGACGAAAAGTGAAAGGCGTTTATCCGCTAGATTACTGGATTACATGGAAGCTAAGCAGAAAGGATGAAACTTACCCAGCAAATCGATCTGTGGAATCCATTTCACAGGATATATGTTTGGATAGGATTCAAAAGATATGTCGTCGCCTTTATATTTCCAAATAAATGTCACTTCAGAAAAGGAATCAAAAGTCCCCAGTATATCTGCGTAGAAAGTAATTTGAGCTCGAGGCAGTGGAGGTCTTAGTATTTTCGATGGAGAGGAGGGGGAGAGGGAGGGAGGAGAGCAATAAATTTTCTTTTGAATGAAGTTACGCGGCATTAGCCATGAACTCAGAATTTTCTTGCGGCACTTCCCAAAATTTATGCGACCTTAACATGACCTTAAAATCGGAAAAAGGGCAGGCAGCCACGCCAATGAAAAACAATTTTTTTCAAGGCTGATTCGAATTTTCAAAAAATTTGAACTTATTTTGATTATTTACAAGTATGAGCATTCACTTGCACATTTTCATAATACTTCAGCTGCTAGTAGATCTGTATTTTAGACCTCAGGACTTTTCTATTTGAGACATGAAGTGAACGCGCATGGGTGGAAGGCACTAACAACCTGTCTCGTGTTCGGATTCTGACGTATCAATGGTTACATTTGTTTCACGTTTTGTCAGATGAAGTTCAGTTACCACCTGTTGTTACCAACCGTTAGGCATAGAGCCAGCGTTCAGATACATGTCGCATGCGTTTTACATATGGGAGCCGATTGTGAAGAACCTAACTAAAGCACAGCAAGTTTCAACACAAATACCTGATTTAATGCCAAACCTTTCTAGAGCCATACGGGCATGTCAGATCAGATCTAGCTACGGAACCCACCGAAAACAGCACCGTCATGTTCCTTTTATTCAGCAACAAATCCAGTTCCTAGGAGTTACTGCATTGAATCCATCAAGCTTGGCCTACCGTTGCTCATTAATTGAATGGACTACAAATATTGCGAAATTATCGAAGTGTCTGAAACTGCAAGGGACGGTCTGTGTGAGCATTGAGCGCAACAACGCTCACTTCACTCTTCAGTTCCTCTACATATGCTCACCTTTATCAACGGTTTTGCCTGAGCTAACGCTGCTCCACCAATGTATCTTATCATATATTTGCTGTAGGGCGAGGAGTTTCAAGAAATTCATGCGCGTTCAGCATTATGAGCGCTGCTTTCTCCTGCAAAGGGCGTCTGTGCTGTGTATTTTCGAATAAAAACCTACTAGGAAGATCTCCTGTGGTGTGAGAAACCCAGGATATTTCTTGTTGAACATTTGCGCGAAGTTCTCATCCCATTTCTTCGAGTGAAATTCAAATTTTATATTGAACTAGTTGGCAAACCCGGCTCCGCCCGGGCCTGTCATTATTATATTCGTAATCAGCATGCTCGATTACCCCCCCCCCTGTGCCAACTCCCAGCTCTGTAGCTCAAATTTTGCAAAAAATCGATAAAATCGATATCGATCGATAACGAAAAGTAGCCTATGACATGCTCCCTGCCCCGAAGTATATGTGTGCCAAGTTTGGTCCCGATCGGTTCAGAAATAAAAATTTCTATTCCGCACATACGTACAGACATACAGACAGACATACAGACAGACATACAGACAGACATACAGACAGACATTCAGCTTTATATATAAGAAGATAAGAAGTTTCTTAGTCTTTCCTTGAAAGTCATCACATCCGAGTAAGGAGTTATTGCACCTGTTGATCCATTTATACTGACAAAAGGCTAATGTATCTTCACGTACACCGCTGAGAATTTTGAATTACAAGTGAACATCAAAGAGTAAATGGAAGATGATTTCACGTTTTTTATTCTGTTCAGTGCATTCTAACCTGGTACAAAACTGGGAGGTTGACGAATTCCAGCCACCTCGTAGAGCCGGGGTAAAGCGAGCGCAGATGATAGTAGAACTACATTTTTGATGTTGAGAATCTGTAGGTTGATGTGCAAAGCATGTTGGCAAGCACTTTCCATCAAATCAATTACCTCAGATATGCCTGGAGCACATAAATCCAGCGTTTCCATGTAGGCAATTTTGAACTTCGAATTTTTCAAAGAATCCAATAGCTTCAGATCTTCTAGTATTTCTGCAAACATTAAGATATGCTCATTGATGACTTGCTAGTATTATTACCTTTACAGTATAAGTTTCGCTGAGTGGTTAAGTCAAAAACACTCCAATCAACCAAACATCTTTGCAGCCTGGAGCTTCCCACAATGACGTAGATTTGAATCTTGACAAATCAAATGATTACGTTCGACTAGAACGTCGGACAGTTAAAGGGGAAACTTCACGATGTCAATAGTTCATCAGAGGTCTTTGATGATGTGAAACTGATAGTTTTCGCAGGCAAGTGATTCCCAAATGGCTTGGTATTGGGGTCCAGTATCGGGGAGAAGATTGTCTGTAAGATGCGCTTAGTCTAATCAGAAAAGCGAACAGATGGTTTCAAATGGACAAAATTCGCCGTAATTTGACTTCAGTCATTCTCTGCAAGCAGAGTGTAGCGGAACCAGTACGATTCGGTTTTCTTGTCAATCAAACTCTACAATTACCTCGTAATCTAACTAGATTACTTATTCAATTGCTCAAATGTACCAAAACCTAGTTTGTTTACTTTTGCAGAATACAGCTCAACACACATAATTTTGCTGGCCATTATCAAAGCAGATAGCATTATACACAGTCAACTTTAGCGCATGTGCTCCATACTAAATCGATTCATGATCCACAAAGAATGTTGGAAAGCAAAAAATAATATCAAGAAAAACCAAAAAAGAAAGCATACCACATTGTGACCAGCCTCTGTGAGTACATCAGCGATGTTGTCTAAGAATTTGGTGTAACTATGAGAAAGTGCAGGATTCCAAACTAGGATATTCGATGCAAACGTCGAAACTCGCGACAGAATTAGGAGGAGTATGCTTCTCACAAAATGGAGCTTTTTTGTTGTAGACAGTACTATCACTGATAAGAATGTTAGACAATAGGGCAGAATTTTTTTGTGTGGCAGAAACAATAGTGCTCTAAAACCTGGTCTTTTCTCCTGAATATTTTTCGCATTTGAATATATTGCACATTTATAAGCTACGCCTACGTAACGATAACTTGTCCCGTTTCTGGCAAAGTTTTTAAATTATAGCGAAAAATTATGTCAATTGCAATACTAAATTTCAGATTTTTCTGAGTAAATCCTGCAGACAAAAAATTTGCGTTATGTGCTTCATTTCCTTCAGTAAAAGCGTTTTCAATTTTTTTAATTCTAAAAACGAAAAAATATAAATCCGTTACAACTTCAGTTATCCTTGAAATATATCTGGTTGATGTCATCTAACATTCAAATAAGTTGTATACTAGAATATGTCATGTAAATTTAGTAGCGTGCTATGAAGTGCAATTTTCTTCTAACTGGTATTCATCTCTCAAAGTAAACACACCTTTATCCACAATTCGGGTAAATGTAGCGGACGAGAGATCGTCGATACCGGTCGAGCAACTTAAACGTTTTTGATCTACCCCGTAAATTGTCTGATTGACTCATTGATGGCTAAATGCCCGCTTAAGCAGTGACTCGGATGTTTTAGTACTGCGAGCTTTTCACAACTACGTGACCTTTTGGAACCGCTGAGTGAACTGTGCTTAAAAAGGCAAAAACTGCTTTTTTGGCCTTTTCTGGCCTTGGAGATTGCTGAGGGGATTGGGCGAGCGATTATCGCCAGAAACAGCACTGTAACTCCACCCGTTTTGGCGCCAATTGGCTAATCCGCTCAGGCAGCCAATTGCGACTCAGTTGGTGATCGCTTGCCCATCTTCTTCAGCAATCTCCAAGACCGGAAAACGCCATAAAAAGCACTTTTTTGACTTTTCAGGCACAGTTCAGGACTCAGTGCATTCAGACATCCAAGGAGGGGTGAAAGCATGCAGTTCAATTTTCCCGAGCCACTGCCCTTAATGTGGGCACTCGCCCGCCGGTAATGTTATCGCAGTTTTCCTGAGAGATACTTCAAAAATTGCTCATTTGCTTGCTTGTAATTTCTGTTAACAATATGAGAAATATCCGAAAAGCTAAGCACATTATTATCTTCAAAAACTTGTCTACAGAAACTTCTAAACAACTTCTGAAAGGCGCATCACTTGTTTTGCTTGAGCTGACAGCTTTTTGACATAAAAACACTTCTGGCTTCTGCTTCTGTCTTCAACGTTGGTGTTAACAAATGGAGGCCCTCTAGTTTTCATTCGCATTTACAAAAGCTATACTACCGTCAGATTTCCATGCTTCTCTGACATCCTTTTCTACTGCTTGTGACAAACTGTTGAAAAGACGGTGAATGTCGCTTGGAATATCAACTCGCTTAATTCTCGGTGGAAGCCTTTCACATTATAAAATTGGATTTGAAACTAGCTACACTTCTGTTCCCGACTTTCCCGTGTCGGCTATTGTAGCTCTGACCATTTAAAATGAGGGGAAGGAAGAGATTAGACAATTAGACAATCTCCAAGTACATATAGTTCTATGTCAAAAACTCCCTTGTAAGGATCAGTGAAGTTTTTGTAATGTTAGCCAAGAAGGAATAAATAGAAAGTATAATTTGCGATTTTATGCAGTCTCGCTGAAAGTAACCCTTCATGTTGAGAATACTGCCTTGGTGCAGACTCATGAAGCACAAACTCCTATTACGATAAGTCTAACTCGAGTGAGCGTGATATATCTTAAGTCAGTGTCCGCTGGTTGAAGACTACATCGCTCTTCGACCTAGTAATAAGTAGTATCATTCATCCATTACTCCCACGAATATAAAAAGTAACTTTGCAGATTCTCAAAGCTCAGATGAAAAAGCCATACAAGTAACCTTTGGACTGTAAGGTTTCTTACGGTTTCTAATAAGAAATTTCTGCCAATTTTTACTAGCATTTATTACCTGATCAAACCACCTTTCCACAGGTCTTCTAGAAAAATGTGTAAAAGGAAAGTATTGGGGTACAACAAATTTTCTAATACTATGTAATGCATTTCTTTGTTTTACTTCAAGGTCTTCAGGGAACAATATGAAACCCGATTTAGTTGTGAACTACTCAAGTTTGAGTTTAAACGAAATTAAGGTACGATAAGTCATTCTGAGAAATAGAAATATCGTAAACACCATTAGTGCTGCCAGACTAACAACGCACGCTATGACATCCAGACAGTAATACTGTACAAAATTCATATATCTAGACTGCAGTACCAAATGGTCCATTCTACCGTGCTCGATGATGATCTTAGCCCACTTGGCAATATCTTCGCGATACCGTTGAGGTCGGCCTTCGAGCAACAGAGCAGTAAAAGCAGCTTCTTCGGCAAATCTTCTGAAAATTTCCAATTTATTCTCCTTTTTGAAAGAGAAGCAAGAAAATCACTTATTGCTGAGCATTTCCAGTATAGCTTCCGTCAACGTGTTTTTATTGAGCTGATTCTTCTCAATAATTATAGCTACGCCTCTTTTCTGTACGAGTTTCGAGTTATACTGTTGATCGCCAAACAGTGGAACAACAATCAGCGGCTTTCCATGGTACGTCTGGAACACTGCGCGAATTGAAAAAAGTTTCTGTATTTTTTACCAACCGCTTCTATTAACGAGTTCATACCACCGTGTGTGATGAAAAGCGAAAGGCGTTTATCCGCTAAATTTTATGATTATAAATGTTCAAAATTGCGAACGGACTCACCTAACAAGTCAGTCTGTGGGACCCATTTCATAGGAAATATATTTGGATGAGACTCGAAGTTAATGTCATCGCCTTCGTATTTCCAAATAAATGTTACTTCAGGAAACGAATCAAAGGTTTCCAGTACATCTGAAAAGAAATGAAAGCAAGTTATTTCCACGAGAAAAATGGCAGTCCAGCCGCGTAAAGAGCATGATACAAATTTTTTTAATCTCTGCTGTGTATCCATCATAGCATCAACAGGTTGCATCCAGAAATGCTGCTCAACCCAATGTGGCAATCCGACCTCATGGAGGATACATGTACAGTTGACTGACTAAACGTCTGTGATGATTGTTAATAGCCAGCACGATTCAAAGTCGCGTTCTCGTATTTCTTGTTGGCATTTTGGACGCTAGCCAATTTAACCCGGTATACACTCGTAAAAACTTTTGTTCTCGAATTCTGCTTCGGAAGGTAACGAAATCCTATGTTAAAGTGAGATGAAAGCGTCAAACAGAATGATTCTGATTAAACAAGCATCGTGGAGACAAGTGTTGCTGCTCGCAATCTGCCCCATACTTAAAGGAACAGCCCAAAGTTGAGGGCTCACAAGATTCAATGGCATACCAATGTGGGCCCCCACACTAGGCCAACCCCCAAGTTTCCCCGCAAAAAATGCTTCCGGAGCGGATTTCTCGCTACGGTACGTGATACGTGATCCAGAGCTGGTCACTCTGCCCATTTTACAGCTTTGGGGGCTGCGGCGCTGATATACGCCAAGCGATAACGCGCCGCAGCCCTGCAAACTGCACTTCCACCCGTCCCGCTCTCTCCGAAATAGGGGTTTTTGGGATTCTCGACTTCATATTCGAAATCAGAGCCTTCAGAAGGCTCGGAAGCGACAAAAACATGGAAGTCGAGATTTTGGGTGGACGGTGCCTCTAAGGCCCCGGACAGACTTCACGCGATTTGATCGTCGCGACTCAATCGCCGACATTCCCATTCATTTTCATTTCACATTCAAAAATTTCGGGCTGGAAAAGTATCACAACCGAAATGCAAGTTGATCGGCATAGAATGATGTTGTAACAGTTGTCTCGTCGCGATTCAGTCGCGACGATCAAATCGCGTGAAGTCTGTCCGGGGCCTAAGGCGGCGAACAGGAATGAGAAAAACTCCGTTAGATGCGCTTTGATGAGCTGATTCCAATTCTAATTTCCGCACATGAAATGCTGCTCTTTGGAAAAGTTATGAGCGTTCAGAAGTCTAAACTTGGCAATCAGCGTCATACCCTCAAAAACTGATTGTTCAAAACACTTACTTGTGTTTCCGGTAAATGCGAGCATTTCTTGAAATCGGCACATTTGATATCATGCTAGTCAAGCATTCACAAGTCGATTTCAAAGCGACTTCACATTTATGATTGCTTGAAACTTCTTCCAAAGAACCACCGCATCATGTAGGGAAGGTAGATTTAGTATCAGCTCATCAAACGCATCTAATGATCTGCGACTCATTCCAGTTTGCTTACTTAAGTTGGGATCGTTCCTTCGTGCGCTATAAATAGCACAGCGTACCATCATCGGTGCTTCCTTTTACAACTGTCTCCGCGATTCCAGCGCTATCAGAAGTACGAACGCCGGTAGCGCTGATTGCCGCGCTATTCGGCGACAATCGGTCATTACGCATAACTGCTCGCCTCCGCACCTCTCATTGCTTGACCAATTTAGACTGCCTTCATTCTGGTCCGGAAGTTCCGACACAGTTCCAGCCCAGCACTGGAATTATGCCAGAACGTATTTGAGATGTGCTGCATGCGCTGCAGTCGGCACTGTGCGGCTGGAGATGATAATTTTTGACCGTTTTCGTTAAAGATGTTGACCATTTTTGTCTACTTCTTGTACTCACTCCCACTTAAGACAAAATCCAACTTTGAGCGGGAATGAACGCTATTCGTTGTGTTAATCGAAATCTTTCTCAAACCAAAACCGCTAGTATCAGTCCTTTTTGAAAAAGCTGACTTTAAAATTCAACACTGAAGAAGAGCGACTTTCTGAGATACAAAAGGGTTATCAGAGGGAGGATGCAAAGAGGATGGACGCTAAAAAAATAAAGTTTTCACGTACACACTGCACGAAAAAGCTTTCATTCTCAACTTTCACCTTACGAGGAAGCGAGGTACAAGAATGAGATGAAAGCAAGCAAAATTTATAATAAAAATTTAATAGGAGCGCTCAAAAATTGCTATTTTTCTCCGCTTATACCTCATGCGGGCGGCTGCAGCGGCAGCTAGCAATTTGCAGCAGAATTCCGGCATAGTTCGAGTGCTGTAACTTTGAGACAGTGTGAAAGCGGCCCTTGTCGGCGGCCCCTCATTATGGCGCCTGTTAGCTTATATTTTCAAACTATTTCTTGTCGTGCTCTTATTTGTGCCCTTGCTTGGCTGTTAGCCTCCCATCCTGGAATTCTTTACGTTAACGTCGACTGGACAGTGCCGCTTGTTTAGTCGCGCTAAGCTGTCAAGGAAAGGATGCTTGGTCAAAGTGACTCTTTGTGACGAGTTGCATACCACCAAAGCATGAAGTGCTGAGTCCAAATTGGCCTTTCTTATCTGCGGAGCATTTCTGATTGAGGAGGTAAGAGGGTCTGTAGGCAAAAATGCAATTAGATGCGCAAGTGGATAAAATCATTCGTTGAAAGTTTTCTGACTCAAATAAGACAAGGTGGATGATGTCTTTATCTAAACTGAGAATATTCATTGCATTTGGTGGCCTGACGATAATTACTGCTGCATTTGAGGTCTAGCAAGAATATCTCGCGCAATTTTAACTAGGTAGTGCATTCAGTTTTTTGCTCGGTTGAACGCTCATAATTCCTCGACCAGAAAAGCTCCGCAGTTAAGGAAAACAGATTTGCAATCAGGCTTTTTATGCCATCCAAAATGGTATGCACCTCATCCAGAAAGGCCACTTCGATTAAACATCATTCACTTCTGAGTAGTAGGCTAGGTCGCTTCCTAGTTTATAACAGGCGAGCGCATGTTTAGGAACCACCAGGCCGTAACAACACCATTTTCATTATTAATAGGTCAAACGTATGCTGCGCAAGACAATTTGAGAAACAGAAGTCGTATAATTGTAAAATCTATGGGTTAGTGTCAGCCTTTACCGTTATGCCCCAGGAGGCGTGCGGGCAACTTGAGGGTGCCTCGCAAGGATATGAATATGAATGCAACATGTAACCCTCGGTAGCTCGGTGCAAGCTTGACTCACCTTGTGGTTGTTGGCAGTAATTTTTGGTTAAGTGCGACTTATTAAAGTCTAGAAGATAGTGAATATGTGGTACGATATATAGCAGCAATTCAAATTATGTTTGTTATCAGTGTTGCGTCAACATATTACATAGAAAAAATTAGAAAATAAAAATGCTAACCTTTCTTCAACCATTCGGGCATATCCACAGATCTAGCAAGAGATCCCATTGAGAATAATACTGTCGCACTTCTTTTATTCAGCAAATCATCAAGATCCTATAGGGCGGTAGATATCAGGAAAGTTCACTTTTTTACACCCCTACCTTTGTCAACGGTTTCGCTTCAGCTAACGCTGAGCCGCCAATGTATTTTATCATATTTGTTCTAGGACGGGGAGATTCGAGAACTTCATGGACATTAATCATTATCAGCGCTGTTTTGTTCTATAAAAAAAGTCCACTAGTGTTTTGAAGTCCTTGCAAGGGAAGCTTGTTCAGTCGAAGTGGCCTTTCTGAATGAGATGTATACCATTTTGAATGGCAAAAAATGCTGATTCCAAATCTGCCTCCCTTATCTGCAAAGCAATTATGCACGAGAAGTTATGAGCCTTTCTTTAAGCCAAGAATTGAATGTGCATTTTGGATGAAATGAGTTGCTAAAATCTTACTAGCCCTCAGATATTGCAACCAAGTGTGATACACTTTGTTTGAGAGTATTTTTTCTTAAAACAAAGTGCTCTAATGATTATCACTGCTCCATTAAAAAGCTAAAAAGTATTATGGCTAATTTTGTCCCACTTGCATATTCAATTTTTCCCAATAAGCGCTCGTAACTCCTTTTTCATAAACCTCTGCAAATAAGGGAGGCAGATTTAAAATCAGCAATTTATGCCCTTTAATATGGTATACGTCTCATCCAAAAAGACCACTTCGACTAAACATGCTTTCCTTGTTGAAGCAATCATACAAAATAGATTTCTCGCGGAGTAGGAAATCCAGGATATTTGCGACTGAATATTCTTCGGGAGTCCTCATCCCATTTATCCATATGGAAACTGAATTGTATATTGACCTTGAGGTTTGTCAACCTTTCCATAAAGGTCATCTCATCCGAATAAGGCGTTATTCCACCTGCAGGTAAGCATTTACAAGATCTAAATTTTTTCAAAAAACGTGCAATTCGTCCGGTGTTCAAGCAAAATAGTCGCATTGCGTCTAGCCCTTCTTAACGCTGAAAAAAAGCGATGACTTGAAAAAGCCAAGACAAAATCATCAATTTTGATGCAGGAAAAACAGTCAATAATTTGAATTTCTTATTCGTTACATTGCGACCTGGTACAAAACTGGGAAGTTGACGCAATCCAGCAATCTCGTAGTGACGAGGCACAGCCACAGCAGCAGATAGTAACACAATATTTCTTACCCCGAGAACCTGTAAGTTATTAAGTAAGTATAAGTAAAGCGATAAACGTTTTCGCTATAGGAAAAGTCAAAACTTATCTCAAACCTCGAATATGCCTGGAGTGCAAAAGTCAAGTATTTCTGCGTAAGCAAGTTCAAATTTTGAGTCTTTCAAGGCATTCAGTAGGTCCGATTCTTCCAGAAGTTCTATAAACATCCATATTGAAACAATGATGATTTACTAGTGATGTTACCTTCACAATAAGTAAGCGTTAATTGGACCAATTTGTCAAGATCATTCCAGCTGACGCAGACATCGGTGCATACTGGCGCCTCCCACATTGAAGTGGATTGAAATCTTGAGAAACAATGTACAGCTCTTAGTTGATTGATTTCGTGTTACTCATAAAAAAAGCTCACGACTTCATGAGGTCATCAGAAAAATTTGATGGGGTGAAACTAATCGTTTTAGCATCTAAACGATTTAGAAAAGGTTTTGCATTGGGAAGCAGCATTGGTGCGAAGATCGTCTGTAAAAGATTTACATTAATAGCTTTAAAAAACATTGCACACTTTCTTAGCATTAATTTCTTGCATTATCGTTTTAAGTAGATTCTTCGATAGAGCAGTTCGCTTTATGAAGTTCAGTACCACTGCTGAACAATTTTTGAGGCAAAGCCTTCCAGACCTGAGACACAGTTGTCAAGTGTTCTTGCGACATTTTGACAGCTTTAGTGAAAACAGCGATATGATCACTAAATGTGAGTTTTCATCGCCAAAGTTGTCAACGTTAGGGCCCCATGTGTGGGTAAGAAGGGGCTGAAAGTCAGAACTTTCGAAGACTTGCATTGAACCTTTTCGAGGAGAGTATGGCACGGGTTTTTATGTAAACGCAATAAACGCAGATGATTAAAGTCAGGGTTAAAAAGAAACCGTGTTTTCCCTGCTCCATATGAGGGTTTCCAAGATTCTTTAACAAAGGTGCCAATAGAATTTTGACTGTTTCCTTCCACTTTCTTGTATCCTCTCTGCACTGCCGTTCCCTCTTATGCTCTAGAAGATCAATTTCAGTAGATTCTTGCATTTTGCTGTTCTTCCTGAGTTCTTTGAGACAAACTGCGCTTCCCTCTCAAAATTCTTTTCACTCAAAAGTTTTCTTGGTAAAACTTCCTGAACGAGTAATAATTCTCATATCACAATTTTTCGATCTTACTCAACTGTCTCCGACTTTGCCCCAAAGCTGCTGTGTTCAAAAGTGTGCGCCGCTTACACATTCAAAGTCTGATCCTTTCCGATCAGGTCAAAATTGATGTGACTCGCTCCGGAAAAACATGGTTCTGCGTCACTTCAGCGGTTTGCTCAAAGTAATCGTTTTGAATCCATCTCTTGAGCAATGCTAGAAGCGAGCAAATGCAGCGCAAACCCTTTACGTTCAGCTTGATCACCATTGACAGATTTCCCTACATTCCGCGATAACACTCAGATGCTTTTACTTTTACATACAAAAAAGTTACCCCCAAATGAAGCTCTTCACACTAAGCAAAGTTTCTCAGTGATGCGCACCCTTGACTCTTTCCACCGGGGCCCTGCCTCACTGAGTGCTCCTCTGAACTGCCTAGGAATCTCCACTCCCCCCAAGATCATTCAAACAGTACACACTTATGATTATATTGATGTTGCCATGCCAGCACGAGGTATGTTGACGCCTTTTACTAGTGTGGCCTTACGTTTCGACTTATGTGTCCCCAGAGGCCTGAAGTGTTGCAAGATTTAGATCTTATGCTTATTCCACCAAACGCTTTTATGCGAACTTGGCTTGCGAAATCGGAGGGAGGGTGGGGGGGGGGGGTACGAACGCAGCTAGCAGGAGAATGATAAGCATTTGGCAATAAGCATAAGATCTAAATCTCGCTCCACTTTGCCTCTGAAGACGACGATAAGTTGCAATGTAAGAATTAATAAAATTCTTCACAAAACCTCGCACTGGCACAACAATGTTAACATAATCATATGACATGCCGAGGTTTTGAGAAAAGAGGACAACAAAGTATGTATACAGTTATTGCTTCGTAAGATTTAATCCGCACAAAGATTTAAAGGCAGTGTCCGGGCAAAAACTCGATTTTGAGATTTTGTGCTTACTTGGGCCTATTCGCTACGCTGAATCCGAAAATGCACATTGTAGAGCGCGAAAATGGCGAAAAACGGCTCTAACACACTCAGACAATCGCCGGGGGCAGACGGGCACCGGAAAAGTAGATTGCTGATCTCTCGCACCCCGCTCGCGGATTTTTTGCAAAGCAATTAGGACTTTTCGGAAGACCGCTTGCTGAGTTCTCGATTTCTCAGAGATTCAGCAATATATCTGCAAAAGATAAGAGCGAAAAAAAATTCAACAGGCGGTCTCTCAAAAATCCGCTGACTCAGCAAGCGGTCTTCCGAAAAGTCCTGATTGCTTTGCAAAAAATCCGCGAACGGGGTGCGAGAAATCAGCAATCTATTTTTCCGGTGCCCGCCTGCCCCCAGCGATTGTCTGAGCAGGAGGGAAATGAGCAGGTGGGCGGGGCCCTCCCCACTGCGAATTCACGTTCCCGGCTTCCGGAGCGACCTTCTCGCTTCCGGTTTCAAGTCAATCATTCGCACTTGACCGGTAGCGATGTTAGGACGGCTAGCGGAATCGAGAAAATCGTTCCGGGAGCTGGGAGCGTGAAATCGCATTGGGGAAAGCCCCGCCCACCTGCTGATTTCCCTCCTGTGTTAGGGCCCTTTTTCGCCGTTTTCGCGCTTTCCAATGTGGATTTTCGGATTCAGCATGGAGAATAGGCCCGTATAAGCACAAGATCTCAAAATCGAGTTTTTGCCCGGACACTGCCTTTAAGTTGGCATTTCAAAGTCCAGCCAACATTTGAACTTCTAACTAGAATTTTTTTTGTCAAAGACTCCCTGTTGTCAAAAAATTTCATTGGCACAACTCCCCCTTCTCGTTCTCTAGCGGATTCCAAATTGTCCCCTGAAATTCCACCTAAAGTCTTCAAAATCGCTCAATTTCCGGCCTACCCTAGGCAATTTGAATTTAACGAAGAGACTTCCAGTTGCTGACTCAAGCAAATTTTCTTTGCTCATACGATTTTTAGATTGTGCAAAATTTAAAAAACGCGTTACGAATTTGCAATGTACTCAACGGAGGTTAGCGAAGCTTAGTTGATGGTTTGCGGAGAAAACCTTGCAATTAATCTTGTTCTTATTCATAGCTAAAACAGATAACGACAAGTTCCAACAGTGAATGGTTTTCCTAAGCAACTTCACTCATAATCGCAGTGTTTTCTTTCTACATTAGTCTTGACATTTTCGGTGAAAATTTAAAGAGATGACCCCGGCCTGAAGCGGTTCCCTTTTTTATGATTTACGCTTTCCTAGCTAAAAAAGCTTTATGCATCCAAGTTTCATATGATTTCGAGGTCCCATCCCACACTATGTGATTCAAAATTGTTTCTTATAACTAGATCGATAGAAATGTTTAGATAGTGCTGAGTGTGTCAACTGAATAGAATCAAAGATTTGCATTTCTCAAACCTAACAAATACTGTTGCATCTGAGTTAGAGTATAATTGTTCAAGGAATTGCTTGTGGTGTTCAATAGCTCAATGACATGATCAACATAGTCAGCGCAAAACATGACGAATGTTAACCAAGTCAACATCATACCGTTGATGATGCATTATGTTGCACTTAAGTGACTGCATCGAGTCGCAAGCGTAAGCAATATGGAGACAGGCGGAAGTGCAGATCCATTGCCGGTTGTAGATGTCATATGGGCCCCACTGGGCTTCATTATAGAGTAAGTATGATTGCAAATGTGCGAAACTGAAGAATTCCACTGACATTCGCGGAAAGAAACTGTAAGACGCATGTTAATTGGTGAGAGTTTACATGATCAGCTTTCGATAAAATGGCATATTGATGGGGTCGCTTGAGTCGATGTAGCCGTAGTTATGATTACAACGTTCATCTGGCAAGATTTGGCCGCAGAGTAATGAAGCCACACTAGGATTCCCGCCAGAGTGCCGAAGTTATGCCAGCGCTACGCCAGCATTTCGATCGATACACGTGTATTTCGTTGGGACGGGGCTAGCTGACGTCCCCAACGAAATACACGTGTATCGATCGAAATGCTGGCGTAGCGCTGGCATAACTTCGGCACTCTGGCGGAAGCCTAGGCAATGTCCGGACAAGATCGAGGTGGGGTTTTATCTTCATGTGAAAGTGGATGCCCTCGTACATGTCCACCCAGAAGTACATAGTAAACACACTGAACCAAGCGAGAATCGCTTGGGTTGTTAGGAGACTTACGCCTTAGGTAAGCTCCTTACCTGCTGATTTTACATTGTTAACAATTTGCGCATGTCACCACAATCAAGATTGTAGGTGCATGATTCCGCTTCTCGGCATTGGTCGGAAGTGCTCCGTCCGAAATTTTAATCGAAGGTTTTTGGAAAATGCAAGCTTGAAAAAATTTCACACCAGCAAAGTGGATAAGCTTAGGTAAGCAAAACGTCAGCAATTCAGTTTTTTCCTAATCACTGCCTTCAAACTCGCTTTGAGAATGGCTCCGAAAGGTTTACAAGCAGAAGATTGTAACTTGCGATACTTCTGAGCAATAAAATATCCACCAAGCCTCATGTTCAGAAAATAGCAGCCAAAACTGTGCAGTGCGCTGGGCAATGGCCAAAATAAAAACCTAAAGTAAATGTTATCTTACCACGTTGTGACCATTCGCTGTAAGGATATCAGCTATGTTGCTCATAAAGCTAGTGTGGCTATGAGAGGTTGACGGGTTCCAAACTAGAATGTTCGATGCGTTCGCTGAACATCGCAGTAGCAGTAGGAAAACAATAGCTCTGCAATGCATTTTTGACGGTAGACCGAGAGACTGTTTTCGCTTTGATAAGAATTGTTAGATAGCGAAGTGGGATATTTTTAGTCAACAGAGTGTCTCCAGCAAAATTACGCACTTTTCTTTCGCCAGACTAGTTTCTTGCATTGCACTAATTTATCTATTCACAAAATGTTACCAAAATTGTGCGGAATATGAAATGAACTTGCCGTTTGTTTTCTAGAAATTCTGTCAAAATCCAAGAAATAGTTAGGTAGCTAATATAAGCGAATACATTGGATCACAAATGCACAGACATTGCGAGGTTGTACTCCTCGCTCATCTATATATATAAAACTCAAAATTGTGAGTTTGGAGGCTATGTGCACTATAGAAACGCGCGCCGCTCACCCGATTGGGCTGAAAGTTTGTACACAGATGTTTTCGACCCCTGCGCAGATGATAGGCTACTTTTTGCGTCGATTCGTTGGGTCCTTCTATCGATTTATTAATTTCTAGCACTTAGCAGTGAAAATGATTCTTATCATCTGCTATCAAAGCAGAGGCATGTAAACAAGGCCGGCATGTTTCATTGTAGACTTCTGTTGGCGAAGTGCAGTAAAAAGTGCTCTTGATGTGAGTTTCAATGGTTCAATCAAGTGAATACACTCTATATCTTATGCTGCGGTCTACCTTAGCGTGCAAGTGACCAAGAGTGCTTTGTAGTGAGTGTGCTGTACAAAGGCGTGTTCAAGAACACTCAATGCTTTCTACGTCACATTTCACTTTGAACAATGAAACGGTTAAGAGTTTTCACAAGATTGCGCTTAATTTATTTGGCATGTCAAAAATTTTCGAAAAGAACTTGAATGCCTGTTTACATAATGTAAAATACTTCTTACTTAGTCATAGTCAAGCTTGCCAAAAGATGTTAAACATCGGAAAACAGCTTCAAATAGTGTGGTGAGCAAAGCGAGTGACCGATCTGCAGCAAAGCAACACAAAAAATGCTCATCATTGTAAAAGTCATGCTACTCATCTCTCCTTTGCATGTCAAACCGCAATGCTTAATCTGTAGAGTCCCTGGAGTTGTTTTTTTTTTCGGTTTCGAAGCGGATGTCCCAGTATAAGTAATCCATGACATATAAGTGGAAGAAGGGCTCGCAGTGCAGGTGAGCATTGGCCCGGGCTGGACCGGGAAAGCCCGACTAGTATCTTATATTCGGAATAAGGGAGTTCGACCATAGCGCACCCCATTGATGCAAAACAAATATTCGATCAAAATAAAAATAACGATATGAAATTCTTATATATAAAGTTGAAAGTTTTTTCTGATTGTCTGTTTGTATGTGTATATGCATGTTCCAAAGACCAAACTTGGCACATTTTTAATCGATTTTATCAATTTTTATCGATTTTTTGCACAGTTGACCTACGGGGCTGGGGGTTGGCATGGGTGGGGGGGGGGGGGTAGTCGAGCATGTTGATTACGAATACTGTATTAGTTTACAAAATTATCCGTTACTTTTGTCGATTTTATCAATTTTTGTGCAAAGTTTGTCCGAGGGGGTAATTGAGCTGCTGATTACGAATACAATATTAGCTTTCAAAATCTTCCATTACTTTTATCGAATTTGTCGATTTTTTGCAAAGTTTAAGCCTATACAGCGACAGGGATGAGACTTTTATCATAGTGTTTTGACAGGGCCGGGCGGATCCAGATGCAAGCTAGAAAATAATAAAAAATTAGCTGGTGAAGGAGAAAGAGCACTGACGACCAACTTGGCGTCCCGCAACATGCTACAAAAGGTGCGAGTGGCTCGTCTCTAGCAAAATCATTAAAGTATTTCGTTAGCATTACAATTCCCGTAAAGGTATGTTGTTCTTTGCTAATATCGGAACATCCCTTATGTCCTCTTCATGTACAAGAACTTTCACCAAGAAAGTTTTTGAACCGGATAGGTTCCGACAGTTTACAGAACTTGATTTGATGAAATATTGGGTAGGTATTACTAAGTTCGGAGGAATCGCATTTACTTTCTTCAGCATCCCCCAAATGATCCGTGCTTTTTTATAAGAGTCATAATTGAGCAAAGATTTCAGTACAAAAAAATGTAAAAGGCTGCGAAACGATACTGCTATGTTTCGTAATCATCATGAGCTTTTAGAACAATTCAGAATACAACTAGCCTAGCTGATATTCAAATTCAAGCAAGTCATGCAACACGCATAAGTCCTCGATTAGAGCATTCTTTTTCATTATGAGCAGTTTTCGTCAGGCAAGTGCAATGGTGTATTTTATCCCTGAATACTTCAAGCACTCAAAAGCATGTCCATTCGAAAACTATATTTGTAAATTTTGCTTAGCTGGGCTTTTCCGCTATGGTGAATCAAAAAAACCCATCTTAAAGGCACTTCCCGGCAAGATTTCGCTTTCCGGTTCTTATCTCTCTGGAGCCTTCTCGCCATGCTGAAGCCATATCTGAGCTTTTCAGCGCTTGAAAACGGCTAAAACGCTTGAAAACGCAGACACTGTCTGCGTTCGCTCCAAATTACGTGTAAGAAGTGGGCGGAGTCTAAAAATTGGCAGCGTCCGTAAGACTTGCTGAGCGGATTTTGGGCTTTTCAGAAGCGCTTTCTCGCTGCAAATTTCACTGATAGACTATCTCGAGGGTCTACCATCGCAACACTGTGAAAGCCCGGTATCCATCATTTTGGGGGGACGCTTAAAGGCAGTAAATCGGCAGAATGAGACCCGTGGCAAAACAAGGTCACAGTGTAGGAGCCCCATAATGGAATCTATGGGCCAAAGTTCGATCTTTCTCTGCCACTTCTAACCCCCGAAATTTCAAAGCGAAAGCAGCGCTCATCTCCTGTCCTCTCCGAACCCGCCCACCCCATGGACGAGTGAACACGAAGCCCGTCATGGCGAAGACGCAGAGTCGTTGCGGGACCTCATGCTTATAGCATTGAGGCTGGCGCTCTGACCGCGGAAGCTCGTCCATGGGCGGGTTCGGAGAGGACAGGAGATGAGCGCTGCTTTCGCTTTGAAATTTCGGGGGTTAGAAGTGGCAGAGAAAGATCGAACCTTGGCCCGTAGGTTTCATTATGGGGCTCCTACCCTGTGACCTTTTTTGCCACGGGTCTCATTCTGCCGACCGACTGCCTTTAAGGAAATCGAAAATGGAGGGAACAAACTTTTTCAAGCTCTTTGAGTTTCGAGCCCAAAGTTTCGCACGTTAAGGCGCAAACTGGACGTAGGACCCTACGTCTACTCGGCGTCCTAACTGTGGCGGCATGCGCACTCCCAAGCTGGGGAAGAAAACCACAGATGAGTTTTTCCAATTCGTGCGTTGCTTGCCAACTCAGTAAACAATGTTATGTCTTCCTGAGTGCAATGACGGATCCGAGGGCGTCCATTTCAACATAATACTAAGATCTCATGACACCCTTTTGCTTGGGCACTGCTCGGAAAATGAAGAGCTTAGCAGGTAAGCCTTGCAGGTATCCAATCAGCAGGCCTAGAAAACTGCGTTAATCTTCGATTTTATGTGTGTAACTGACATACCCGGCTTCGCCCGACCCTGTCGATACAATATGACAGAGATCACCATGCCCTTATTCCCATTTTACTGTCCCGACGTCACCTCGATATACCAGTACCCTGCCTCCACTATGTATTCGTAATCAACGTGCTCAGTTATTTCTCCGTGCCAACTCCCAGCTCCATAGCTCGAACTTTGTGAAAATCGATAGAATCGATATCGATTGATAACGAAGAGTAGCCTACGACACCCGCTCTGCCTCGAAGTATATGTATGCAAAGTGTGTCAGTCGGGATCGAAAATTATAACTTTTATCGGGAACATATGTACACATAGACATTCAGACAGACAGACAGACAGACAGACAGACAGACAAGCAAACAGACAATTAGCTTCATATATAAGACTAAATCTCTCATGCAAACAACAATTCAACTTTCAAAATGCGATAAAGTGATCAGTCTATGATATTTGCAAGATGCATGACTTCGCTAATAAAGTGGCCTTGGAGTGTTTGTTACGATATCACGGTGCCAATTTCATTGGTCTTGATTGATGAGATAATTTGTTATTAAGCATATTCCGCGAGCGATCTCTTAAACAGGTATCTTCTCTTTTTCACTATGTTCTTCCTAGGTAAGGAATTCTGATGGAAAGACCGGGCACGGAAAACTGAAATCACGATACTGATCATCGTAACACTCAACATTGATATTATTGGTAACACTGCTAATATATTGCCAAAATAAATTGTTTTAGAACATTTGATTTAATGTCACCATTTGTCAGATGATGCAAAGCTCAAAGCGATCTTTCTGTCACTTTCTTATTTGTAATCTACACGTGAAATTCCCTTCAGTCACACTTTTTAAGCACAGTCAGCAGAATACAAAATGGCACAACCGCCATTTTGTATTCTGCTGACTGTGCTATTTTATAGGAGTGACTAGCAGAGATTGTAGGGGCGGACTCAATGTACAGTCTGCCCCAATCTGGATCAGGCCGAACCGTCGGCTGAATTTGCGCGCTCGCAGCGCTAGGGGATTGCGCTGCATACGCGCGCTGTCGCAGAGAGTGAAGAGATCGAGGAGAGAGCAGACTAGCTAGCCGCGGATGTGGCGCGAAACCCTCGCGGCGCGGACCCCCGCCATGCCGATTTTGGCCTGGTTAGGATTGGGGCAGACTGTAAGCACTGTTTTGAAGTCCGAAAAAATGCAAGCCACTGAGGCTCCGCTGTTTGTCACATTTAAAGGCAGTGTCCGAGCAAGATGGGAGTTTTGAGATTTCACTGCCATGCGAGAGTGCCCCCCCCCCTAAGACACAGCATCGCGCAAATGCGACGTCATAACACTCGACCTAAAGCAAGAAAAACGACCGGAAAGTGGGGAAACTTACGCCTTGGGGCGGGGTCCTCCGAGCCATCCGAATTCCTGCTACGCGGCAGAGTACGCATGTCGCCACTATTAAAATGTAGGGTCCCGCAGCGATCTGCGCCTCTGCATTGGTGGGGACCGGAATGTATATCCTCGCCGTTTTCGCACCGTCTAATGTGGATTTTTGGATTCAGCGTTGCGGATAACCCCCGGTAAGCGATTTTCTAGAAATTGAGTTTTTGCCCGGAACACGTACTCAAATCTACACAAGGCTGCGCAAAGCGCGCCCCTTGACCCAGCGCGAATTTAGCCGGCGCGCATGGTTTATGCTCCCGGGGCACACTAAACACAGTGAACTTGTAATTCTTTGCACAACTTCGCCGCGTAGGTGATTTTTCACATATAGTTCTGCCGTGTTGCGAAAGATTCTGCGCTTATTGGCATACAATCGATTGCAGTTACACTGTATGCTAACGAATGTGTTTTTTGCATACAGCGATGTGACCATCCCTTACGATAGCAACATCCGGTAGTGGAAATGCATACATTGCAATGTTTCGGACACAAATGCCGTGAAAAGCTCTATGCATTCTGTTAGATGGTAGTAGCATAACAAATTTAACCCTACCAAGGCACGCATCTATGTTGAACACGATTTCTTGGAACGGATGTGCAAGATTTCTCCTATTTCTCCTATTTCCCTTTACAATAGAGTCAGTGATCTATATGTTTTGGTAGAAGAACAAATTGACTCACAACTGTCATCGAGCAGTTTTTAGTTAAAAGCACTAAAATGTTTTTGATAAAGAAAGTCCTGCTCTTCTCCTTTGTTTTAAGTCAAGGTTTACGCAAAACATTCGAGGACTTTGATTTGGAAAACAAATGTTGTGCAAATTCGGTGAACGGTGAACGCGCGCAGAGCGAAATCTTAGCGCTGGGAGCGCATAGATTACGTCTAAATTTCAGCTTCATCGCGATTGGGACGACGGTAGATTTTGTTTAGGACTTCTAAACGGAGAAGTATAAGTACTATCTATGTAACAAAAACAGCTTCGTCAGTGCAATCACAAACTTACGCGCATGGTGCGCTAAGGCTTGGGAGGACCAGGCACAATTGTGCAGTCCTTACTTCAATCACTATTTTTCCCTCTCAATTCTCTTTTCCTATTCCACTTCATGTTTGCGGTGCTTCCTTTGTCCTAATCTCTAGTCAGGATTTCTCACAAGTCCCGAAGGATCTTTATCACAGTTGCGCGAATGGACGACACGATGGAGGTCCTTTATTAAAATTATTAAATTGTTGTGCTTCAATTCACGTTTTCTATTGGAAAAACGGAAGTAATTCTTTGTTTCCGACCTCAATAGTGTATTTTTTTGAAGCTTCTCATCGCTGATATAGGCACATTACACATGAATCAGAAGTCCACGTAGTATAACCGATCCTTATATCTGGTTGCAGAAAGGATGAACTACACCCGTCCACTTACGGCAGGTACTTCAGCAAGCGCAAGCCGCGAGTAACGGCGTGCGCGATATTGTGAACTAGTACAGTGCTGGCCAAAACTATAGATCCACTCTAACTGCCGTAGTTCATCTGCTTCTCAACGAATTTATCTGAAATTTGGTGCTGTGTGTTCAAGAGGCTTCCATCAGTGACCGGAGCGGATCCCGCTTTCGTTTGATTATTCAGGAAAAAATCAAAAAATTCGAAAAAACCGGGCTCGAAGGTTGGCCAAAACTATAGATCCACTCAAAATTTCTGTCTGCTAAAGTGATTCTCGGCTTCCAAAGTCTTTTGTGCATATACACAGTCGAAAATCAAAGCAGTGGCTTTAGTCCAGCTGTGCCATACCTTTATAAGAATCGCTTATCTGTTTTTTTTCACTTAAAGTTACTTTCATGCGTATTTTGTTCCCGAGAATGTATTTTTATAGAGGACTTCGCACTTTTTTGACTGGTTTGAAAGTGATAGGGCTCCATTTATCTTATAGATGCTTAGCAGTGTGAGCAGTAGAAAAAAATTCGAGTTTTCGTATCCAAAGCGCACCCGACATCGACCTAACCGCAGGCCTGCGCTCGAATTTTAGCCTTCAAAATTGGTGTACGCTATCTTTGTAAGCTCAAATTAATGTAGAATCATTATATAGCATTATTTACATAAAAAGAAGTTTGTAAACTATAGTCACGATTGTTCGCGAAGTCGCATTTTAATTCTTTTTTGAAGCATAAGTCTTGCGGTGTGTTCGGCAATCTCAAAGTACTTACCAAGTGGTACCTTCCTTGAGTTTTGCCACTATTTAGCTACTAACTAGTGAATACAGCCTGTATTGTATGTTGCCTTGTGACTACATAAGCATTATGGTCAGAACCAGAAATAACTTCCAAGGCTTGTTGCAAATCACTTTTTGCAGTATGAAGTCCTCAATTAGCCTGCATGCTAGGATCTGCAGAAATCTGCAACCACTGCATATGGACTTCCATACATGCTAACAATGTCATTACTCCAGTTCACGCTCATGGCAACATTGCAGAAAAAGTTTGAAGGCATAAATTTGAACGCAGGCCTACGGTTGGGTCTAAGTCGGGTGCGCTTTGAATACGAAAACTCGAATTTCTTTCTACTGCTTACACTGCTAAGCATCTATAAGATAAATGGAGCCCTATCACTTTCAAACCAGTCAAAAAGTGCGGAATCCTCTAAAAAGACTAAAGCCACTGCTTTGACTTTCGACTATGTATATGCACAAAAGACTTTGGAAGCCGAGAATTACTTTAGCAAACAGAAACTTTAGGTGGATCTATAGTTTTGGCCAATCTTCGAATCTGCTTCTTCCGAATTTTTTGATTTTTTCCTGAATAATCAAACGAAAGCGGGATCCGCTCCGGTCACTGATGGAAGCCTGTTGAACACACAGCACCAAATTTCAGATCAACTTGTTGAGGAGCAGATGAACTACGGCAGTTTTTAGAGTGGATCTATAGTTTTGGCCAGCACTGTATAAACTCCGCTGTTGGCCTCAGCTGGCATGCGTCGATGCAAGGAATGAAACACCAGCCACTAACGGAGAGAGATGAATTGCAAAAAATAAGCGAGCAAGAGGCAACGCGATACGAGCACATAGTGAGTGAGGGGTGACGTAACTTAATTGTAAGAGAAGCATGCTCCCTGATTTCTTCTAAGGTGGTCTCAGAAAAGAATAAGCCGACCGTAAAGTATCAGAAAACTGCTAGCGCGTCTTGGTAACTGTTTATATACCCTCCTAATTTGAGTGATTGGTATGGGGTAAAACATAGCTATAGAGATGAAAGAAAAGGAACTTCAGTGTGATTATAATTTGCCGAAAAAGCATGGATAACCAATGCTTGGAGATTTTCGAGCTTGCAACCGTGGCTCATCTGTAGGTCCCGATATTCTTGGATGTACATTCTTCAAGCGCTGTTTTTCGATACAGAGAAGGCCTTAAATAGGACTTAGATAGTTGAATAAGGATAATTCGAATATAAACCTTGAAAATCGAAAACGTTAAGCTTGTTAGTCAAGCCCCTTAGATTGAGGACGATTAGGAAGCAAATCGTATAATTTCGCAATTTTCATTTGTAGCGTGTGATTTCCTTGCATGGCGGAAAGAAACTTGTTCCTCTAGATGGTGACAACTCTTTGCAAAGTTCTCTTAGGCTTCAATGACGCTTAACTTTGAACCGGTTCAAACTCACAGCGCAATAAACTTTCCTCGCAACCCACATTAGAAAGATGATGACAGAAGTAATCAAACAAAGCTCAAAAGCTATAATATTCAAACAATGATACTGCACCCAATTCAAGTGCCTCGAATGCAGTTTCAAATGATCCATGTGGCCATGCTCAATGATGATCTTCGCCCAACTGACGATATCCCTTCGGTATTGCTTAGGTCTTCCTTCAAGTAAAGAAGAAACGAGAGCTGCTTTACGAGCCATTTTCCTAAAAATCCATGAAGTCAATTGGCACTACGATTTCGTGCGATGAAGCCAACTAGCGTTGTAAATACCTACTTATTCTGCATAATGTGTTGCAGGGCATCCGTTAAGGTTTTCTTGTTCAGAAGATGCTTCTTCAATAAGATTCCCAAACCTTTTCTTTCTATATTCTTCGAGTTATATTGCTGGTCTGCGAAAAGTGGAACAACAATCACTGGTTTCCCAAAATACATCTGTAAGTACCAAAATCGTTTCAGATCTTATAACTCGACGAGAAACTTTGCTACTGACTGACCGCTTCTAATACAGAGTTCATGCCTCCGTGAGTGATGAAGACAGACACGCGAGGATCTGCTGAACAAACTCAACGCTTAAATGATTGGGAAAGGAGAAACCAACCGAGAAGATCTACTTGCGGAATCCAATTCATCAAGTGGACGTTAGGATGAGCATTCACAGCCTCATATAGATCTTCGCCTTCGTACTTCCAAATTAACGTCACATTGTAGAATGATGCAAAAGTTTCAATGATGTCTGAAAAAATGAGGATAACAAGCGCTTTACACTGCTTCAGATAAATGTCTTGTCCAACCATATCAAGACCCATATCTCTGTTCAGCGCTATATTTCACTTTCTAACACAATTGTCTCACCTCTCTTCAACCACTCAGGCATATCTTTTGACTGAGCTACAGTTCCCATTGAAAAAAGAATATTTACAGGATTTTGTTCCAGTAATTGATTCAGATCCTGCATAAAGGTGGAGATTTGACACAATAAGGACTGATTAAGCATTCATTAAACCTCTGGCAAAGGCATGGGATCGGATATCGCCGATCCGCCAATATACTTAATCATACCGGTAGTAGGGCGAGCTGTTTCAGCAAACTCATTAGCGTTCACCATTATCAAGGCTGTTTTTTTCTAGGAAAGTAAATGCATAGAGGAACATCGAAGTAGACCAAGAGCGACTTGCCTTGTATATTTCGTCAATAGTTGGAAAATCCGGATACTTATTAAGAAATAAATTCAAAAATCTATTCTCCATTTTGTGCTGGAAGTAATGGTATGTCAAATCAAGATTGAAATTAGTCAATCTTTCAGTAAACGTCATTTTGTCAGAGTACGGTGTCAGACCAACTAAAAGGCAATGTCAGAGTTGTACACAACATCATAGCTCTACCTGGCATGAAGCTGGGAATAGAAAACATTCCTGCTACATCATAAAGACGTGGCATCACGCCAAGTGCAGATACCAAAATCAGATTTTTGATTCCAAGCAACTAAATCATAATAAATAGTAAATCGAGAATCACATCCTGAACACTGAGCGAACTTTACTCAGTCTACTGAATGTCTAGCAAAGCTCTTTCGCTAGGCAAGGAAGGGAAAACAAGAAAATAGAGAAGTGCATATCACAAAGGGTCGCATGCACTAACATTTCCGCTGGGGAGGGAATCGCAGCTTCAGAAGAAAGCTTCATATCCTGAAGCTCCGGATATCTGGATTTCACGCTATCTACCTGTCCGTAAGTACTCCCACCATCCTTCACTATGAACATATTGAACAGGAGCGAGAAGCTGTACGAACCGCATTTTCCAGCTTTTGTATGATCCCTGATGATCCCCGGCGCTTTTTTAAAGTTATTTGTCTTTCTTCGAAGTTAACGAAAACCTTCCAAAGTTATACTGAACATCTAACACAACAGTGCTAAGCATGTTGCTGATGAGAACAAAAATGAAGTTTTGAAAAATCGAATTTTTCGCTATACCCCAAATTTCGACCTGTGGATATCGAAAATTTCATGACTTCAAAACATCATTTGTTTTTATCAGCAACATGCTTAGGACTGTTGGGTTAGATAATCTGCACAACTTTGGGAGTTCTTCGTTAACTTTGGAGAAAGAAACATGACTTCAAAGAAAAGCACCGGGGATCATCAGCGATCATACAAAAGCTGGAAAATGCGGTTTGTACAGCTTCTCGCTCCTGTTCAACATGTTCACAGTGAAGGATAGTAGGAATACTTACGGATAGGTACACAACGTGAAATCCAAGTATCTGGACTTTCGAAATATGAAGCTTTCTAAGTTGCAATCCCCTCCCCGCGGCCATGTTAGTGCATGCGGCCCAAAGATGTTGGATTAGGGGTGTTAAGGTTTTGCCTTTATAACCTTATAACAACTCTGAACATCAGTAAGTCATGACTATACATTTCCGTTGCACATGTACATTGCAAGTGGCTGAAATGTGGTTTTATTTTCGAATTCAATGCTTTCAATGCAACTGCATGGACGCTTCGCATATACCACCCACTTACTGCTATTCATTTACCGATTGAATTATAACTGCTAGGAACGTGAACGCTGAAAAACTGTTTCTATACAGTGCTGGCCAAAACTATAATTCCATCCTGAAAACTGCCGTAGCTCATCTGCTTTTGAACGAATTGATCTGAAACTTTGTACAGCTGTGTGTTTAACAGGCTACCATCGTAACTAGAACGGATCCCGTTTTTGTTTGATTATTCAGGAAAAAATCATAAATTTCGAAGAAAGCAAGCTTGAAGGTTGGCCAAAACTATAATTCCACCTAAGGTTTCTGTCCACTAAAGTATTTCTCGGCTTCCAAAGTTTTTTGTGCATATACATAATTAAAAGTCAAAACAATCGCTTTAGTCCAGCTGTGTCATAATTTTATAAGAAACGTTTATCTGTTTTTTTTTCGCTCAAAAATGATTTCATGCGCATTTTATTTCCGAAAATGTGTTTTTATGGGTGATTTCGCAATTTTTTGGCTGGTTTTGAAGCTATAGGGTTCTATTTATCTCAAAGATGCTTAGCGATGTGAAAACTGGAAAAAATTTTGAGTTTTCGTATTCAAAGCGCACCCGACTTAGACCCAACCGTAGGCCTGCGCTCTAAGTTATGCCCTCAAACTCTTTCTGCAATGTTGCCATGAGCGTGAACTGGAGTAATGACATTGTTAGCATGTATGGAAGTCCATATGCAGTGGTTGCAGATTTCTGCAGATCCTAGCATGCAGGCTAATTGAGGACTTCATACTGCAAAAAGTGATTTACAACAAGCCTTGAAGTTATTTCTGGTTCTGACCATAATGCTTATGTAGTCACAAGGCAACATATAATACAGGCTGTATTCACTAGTTAGTAGCTAAATAGTGGCAAAACTCAAGGAAGGTACCACTTGGTAAGTACTTTGAGGTTGCCGAACACACCGCAAGACTTATGCTTCAAAAAAGAATTAAAATGCGACTTCGCGAACAATCGTGACTGTAGTTTACAAACTTCTTTTTATGTAAATAATGCTATATAATGATTCTACATTAATTTGAGCTTACAAAAATAGCGTACACCAATTTTGAAGGCTAAAATTCGAGCGCAGGCCTGCGGTTAGGTCGATGTCGGGTGCGCTTTGGATAGGAAAACTCGAATTTTTTTCTACTGCTCACACTGCTAAGCATCTATAAGATAAATGGAGCCCTATCACTTTCAAACCAGTCAAAAAAGTGCAATTTCCTCATGAGCGTAAAGTAGAGTAATAACATTGTAGTACGTATGAGAGTCCGTATTCGGTAGCTACAAATTTTCGCAGGTCCTAGCATGCAGGCTAATTGAGGAATTCATCTTGCAAAAACTGATTTGCAAAAAAGCCTCTAACTTATTTTTGGTTCTGACCGTAATGCTCATGTGAGTCACAAGGCAACATACAATACAGGGAGTTTTCACTAACTAGCAGCTAAATAGTGGCAAAAAATCAGGAAAGAATCCACTTGGTGAGTACTTTGGGACTGCCTAAATATTACCATTGAACCACAAAGGTTTATGCTTTGAGAACGAAGGAAAATATGACTTGACGAACAATCCTAAGTATAGTATACAAACTTCTTTTTATGTAAACAATGCCTCACATCATTCTGAGCTTACAAAAATAATATAAACCAATTTTAAAGCAAAAATTTGAGCGCAGGCTTGCTGTTAGGTCTATGTCGGGTGCGCTTCAAAGACGAAAACCCAGATTTTTTTCTAGTTCTCACTTTGCTAAGCGTCTATAAGATAGATAAAGCCCTATAGCTGCCAAACCAGCCAAAAAACTGCGAAATCACCCATAAAAACACATTTTCGGAAACAAAATACGCATGAAATCATTTTTGAGCGAAAAAAGCAGATAAACGTTTCTTATAAGATTATGACACACCTGGACCGAAGCGACTGTTTTGACTTTTGAGTATGTATATGCACAAAAAACTTTGGAAGCCGAGAAATACTTTAGTGGACTGAAACCTTAGGTGGAATTATAGTTTTGGCCGACCTTTAAGCTTGCTTTTTTCGAAATTTTTGATTTTTTCCTGAATAATCAAACAAAACGGGATCCGTTCTAGTTACTGGTGGTAGCCTGTTAAACACACAGCTGTACAAAATTTCAGATCAACTCGTTGAGAAGCAGATGAGCTACGGCAGTTTTTTCAGGGTGGAATTATAGTTTTGGCCAGCACTGTATCTGCACACAATAAACATTATCAGCTTTTCGCTACTTTGCAAGTGTGACATTTACAACGAGGGAACAAGGAAAAAAACTGTTAGGATAAAATGTCATGGGGTAGAACTTATGGTGCTTTGAATGTAATTCTATTCGTAACCTCCCAAATCCCAGGGGCGCAGGCGTCGAAAGTTTCACTGAAGACCAGCTCAAAATTCGAATCACGGAGGTTTCTTATCAAGTCTTGATGTTCTAGCAATGCTGAAAACCATGAAGCAAGGATGTTAACTTTGGTCGCTAGATGGTAGCTGAAATTTCACCATCACAGATCTCATACAGCCGATCTGTTATCTGAGATATATCGTCCCAGTCTAAGCACAGTCCGTCACATGGCGGATCATCCCACACCGTCTTCTTCAATCTGTAATGAGTATTCTTTGCTTGACATTGCAGTTTTCTACAGCCTCTTTTTCAGAATTATTCAATTTCTACAAGGGATAAACCCTTTGGAAATCTCTATGTTTTCCCTGCTCCAAAGTAGACCCTCCACGGTCGCAAAAGAGGGTGGTGCGATCAAAAAAAGTCTCGAATGAAGGAAATAAGCTTCTCAGTCGCAAGCATTTTCTACTCTTCAAAAAACAGCATTTTTCTCCCTGCGAAAAAATTGTCCAGACGGGGATCGAACTTGCTGGCCACAAATATGACCGAAGATTCCAAAGACATTTTCAGAAGCTCAAACACCAGGCATATATGAGCGACAAGAATGTTAAATGTACCAATTGGCCTAGAAATCCTGGTTCCAAAGCATCACTGAAGTCTCACACTCTTGACAAAAGCGCTCATCTCAACCAGCGATGATCATCGATAATCTTTGAAACTTTTTTGTTAGGTCTTTCAGGGCTCCATACAATTTACCTGTACTTTAGATGCTCTGCTACAGTTGTGCAAAATCTGATTATATTTCATAGCCTGTGGATTTTTTTCAAATTTTATATATGGCAACAAAGAACGGAGACGAGAGGGTCGTATCTGGGTTGCATCTAAAATTTTCGCCGCCGTAGAGGCCTGCCTGCTGCAATTTTGCTATATTACGACGCCATCTCCTATTTTCTTTCCTAGAAATTTCGGGCTGTGTCGTTGCGTCTCCAGTGAGTTAAGGAATTTTGAGTTCAAAAATCAAACGTTTTGGCTTCTAGGATCGCATCTAAATTTGCTAGAGTCGCATCTAAGTTTTTTCGAGCTTACTGCTCCTGTGTGGCTGCAACTTTTACCTTCAGCTGTCTGGGCACTATACTACAAAACCTATTCATTGGAGGCTCTTTCTCTTTTCTAACTTCAATTACGAATTTTCAAAATACCGGGTCATGCACGTTTTTGACATCGTTCTGGATGGCGCTAAAACGGTGCTAGTTTTCTTGGTTGTTATTGGTTTCGAGAGAAGGAGTGGTGGGGGGGGGGGGGGGAAGTATGTGGGACGGGGGAGGGGAGGAGTCGTACAGATGTTTTTACTTCAAGGGTACTTCAAGGGGGGGTCGTAGAAGAAGGCCTAGGATCGCATCAATACGCTTGATCCTGCTTACAATACATGCGGGAGGGGTAGGGGTAGAAGTTTGAAGAATTCTGCTTTGTGTACCCCTTTGGCCACTATCGAGAGATCTGATAATCTCTTTTCTTATGTTTGAAAACCAAAAACCATATATCACTTATGGCTTTTAGGCCATGAAATCAGAGAAGATCTCCAAAGGGTAGTGATATTCTATAAGTATTATCACATGTCCATGATCTTGATGTAAGCGCATGGAAACTTACGCATTTATTGGAGTATTGTAATTTAGGCTTCTCGGATCGAAACGAATGGTGTGCGCCGGATGACGGTTACCAAATGTGTGAACATGAGGATTTAGCTTGTTGGAGTAGATAGTCTGGAATTAAATCATTGCAAATTCGAGGATTTGAAGCAGCGTATTTTATGACTTGTGCATTTACAGTTTAAGCTAAAAATCACGTTTCTGCTTAACATTTAAGGACTTAGTAGTGCTCGTTTCTTCTCATTCTTATTGTTAACAACATTTTGATTTATATGTTTATGGTCAATCTTCCCTCTGCTCATTTTTTGATTATCAACACTTGCGCTTCTATATGTTAACGACTTCACTAACCACATTGTGTCCTTCAGCAGTAAGAATATCCGCGATGTTTCCGAGGAAGTTTACATGACTGGGACCAAATGGTGGGTTCCAGACAAGGATGTTGGAAGCCTGCACATCACAGCCAAGCAGTAGAATAATAGCAATGTGCATATTCATAGGACGATTTCTGCTATAGATAATGTTGTGACTGAATTACTTGAAATTCAAAGACAATTCAGAGCTGCAGCAGCAAATATCTAACGCCCGTATACACGTACATCGCACAGGGAAGAGAGGAGGGGATTTAAGAGGGTACGCTCTTATCTCTTTACCCTAGATATCCTTCTTCCTCTCTCTCAATCCGGGTTATGAAAGTTCTCATACCGTGATACTTGCACATAATGGTTGCCAGGGTACTGCCATACAAGAATAGGTTATCAATATTTTGCGTGATGTCCTGGGAATCCCCAAGGGATCACCTCTCATTTTCAAACTCGTCCATCTTCCTGAAAACACAAAGAAAACATGTTTAAGTGCTACTGAGGATATGCTGCACTGCTCAACATGTCTTTGGTGGAAATAAGTGAAACTTTGGGATCTCGAAATTTTCGATGCTCGCGAGATTGTCACAAAATTCACAAATTCAAAAATCCATTCCTCCTGTCAAAATTGGCCTGCATTTAGATTCTATATCAACCACCTACATCGTTTTTTCAATGTTTTTTTTTGTCTAAATGTGCAATTACCTTCCTTCATTATTTGTTGTGCGTGCACATCTGATACATTTCGCTCCAAAATAGTGCACGCAGAATCAAATGTCAGCCAGAATTTCTTTCTGACTATAGGCAATTGTTTCAAACGTTGTTTATACGTATAAATTTTGAGTCGCAATTCACACGACATAAAACTACCTGTACCATCCGTTCTAAAACTGAAACGCTCGAAAAGGCTTTACAGATATTCATTCATATGCTCAGTCTTTTTTTCTTGCCATGCGGAATGATAGGCCAGGTAGAATGAGGTGATGCCAAAGTACCACTTAATGACAGGGCGCAGAAGGTTTTTAGAGCCCTTTAGAAAAAGAATGAATAGCGTCTTCAGTTAATGATGTTCGCTTAATGCTCCCTCGGGGTTCGTTACACCACCTGAGATCTGTTGATGCATGCAATCAGCAAGACAGGAAAGACACAATAGGAAGAAGAAACAAAAACAAACTGCATGATGAAGTGATGGCCTTTAGTCTACACACAGCTGCGTGCTCAAGTATCAATTTTTTCGAGAGCTATGCGCACGCGAAACCTCATCTCATGGTTTCTTGCAACCATTGCTGGCTGATATAGTTCATACTTTCCAGATGCTTGTATAGGAAAGGACAAAGCGGTTTATGCCCATCATGGCTGTATACTTGCCAGGTGAGGAATCCAAACCACCTTTTATATGCAACGAGTGAATAATGAACTACGGAGCTCGTATATATGGATTCTGGTCAACCGCTTGAGGCCGCAAGCAGACTTCACTCGATTTGATCGTCGCGACTGAATCGCGACGAGACAATTGTTACAACATCATTCCATGCAGATCAACTTGCATTCAGTTGTGATACTTTTCCAGCCCGAAATTTTTGAAAATGAAATGCAAATGAATGGAAATAAGTCGCGTGAAGTCTGTCCGGGGCCTAACTCCAAGGAACCCCCGATTTATCTCCTATAGCGATGCATTATCTTGCTCTTCATTTTTGGATTCCGACGGCTTTCCAGCAGATTTCCAATAAGTTAAGAGCTGCTACCTTGGTTTCTCGCGACGGAAGTGATTCAAAATATATTCCGCAATCCGACTTGCTAATGCATAAATGGACTTGCAGATAGTCCTGACCAACGCATCTCGTCCATGTGCTTTTTGACTTGAAAAAACCAGTGGCCTGACCGCTCGCCGGCATACTCATCGTCACATTAACGCTAAGGGACAGATCACGCCTAAGCACATGCAGTCGTACTGTTTCGTAGCTCATATCATGCAGGCCGCGCAGGTTTTGCCGTGTGCTCTATTTCTTGCTAAGCGCTGCTCAAAATTTGGAGAAATATCTTGTTTCGTAGGTGTCATCAGGCTCTCAGAATATTCCGAAAGGTCACTGTCGTTATGCAACAGTATAAAAATTTTGTGTACAACGAAATTCGGATTTTTCAGTTTATCATTTGGAATCATACCAATTCATGTCGTCAAAATCTAAAATCTGAGGAAATGGGCAATTGCTTCTGAAACTGAAAGTTATTGGCATACATATAGGAAGCAATGAGGCAAATGATTTTTACATTCAAGCTTAACTATTAGGTCATTCCGAAAGTAATTTCGCTTTTTTCGTACGGGCGCCACATTTGACGGAACAAAGGTTTCTAAGAGATTTTGGATGCATTCGATGCAGCATTTCATTCTCTTTCTAAAGGTTATGAAATTGTTGCAAAACTTTTAATGAGCTTTCAGAAAATAACCAAAATCTGCGACCCATGCTTTTTAAGATGATCAAGTTTCACGATTTTTTAAAACTTTCATATCAATCCTCAGAAGGAGTTCAAGTAACGATTCTATAGAGCAAACCTCATAGAATACAATGCAACTTTTTTCTCTTTTCCATAGCTTGTCATACATTTTTAACAGAATTTTAACTGATGCTACCGATTTCCATATTTGGACAGCTAAATCCTAGTAGAACATCAAACCATGAGCAGCTTGGGTGTCATTCGATGCAGCTTTTTCTCCTCTTTTCAATGGGTGTTTTTTGTTTTCGATTCGTTTAGTTTCCGAGAAGAAATCACCATAACTCATTTTTTTAGCTAGCCCCAGGCTGTACCCGAAAAACTCGAAATTTGATATTTGGGACCCGTAAACCCCCACTTGCTTTGTAAAATTAATGCTAACTCATAGTACCATTTTGGTAGGCTCAACTTCCGAAAAATTATGATGTTTGATGTGATTGTGGCTGAGGTGGGCCTGCCAAAATCCGATAGTTCTGTTAGAAAATCTAAAAAAATATTACTGCGAGCTGCAAAAAAGGGAAAAAAGTAGTAGTGTATTCTGTGAGGTTTACTCTATCGAATCGTTACTTGAACTCCTTCTGAGAATTGATATGAAAGTTTTAAAAAATCGTGAAACTTGACCATCTCAAAAAGCATGGGTCGCAGATTTTGGTTATTTTCTGAAAGGTCATTGAATATGCTGCAATGATTTTATAATCGTTAGAAAGAGGACGAAATTCTGCATCGAATGCCTCCAAAATCTTTTAGGAACCTTTGTTCCATCATATGTGGCGTCCGTTTGAAAAAAGCGAAATTACTTTCGGAATGACCTAATACATTTTGTGAAGCACTCGAGTTAAAGACAGAAACATTTAATTCAGGAATGGAAGCTCATGGAGTACCTGATCGGTTTTCTCATGATCATTTAGTGCAATGCTTGAGCAGCGAGAAGTTCAGATTTGTAATTATTGATATGATGCAGATACTTCATGTCATAATTGCTTTTGAGCTATTTTTGACACCACTGATCGTGACTAAAGGCATCTACTGTAATCAACTTCTATGAAAATATGTCTTTCTTCGTTCGTGAAAGTTGCGGTAAGTGCTAGTTTGATTTGCGGCGAGATAATAAGACGAGCGCAAATTGAAACAAAAAAGGAAATACAAATATGGTCTCAAAGAAAGTTTATGTTGCGACTGTTTGAGACAATATACCAAGGTAGGACAAGCTCCGTCTCCCTCCCCCCCCCCCCCCTCCCTCCCACCTCCCTAAACAACAGAATTGATTTTTGAAAGTCATAGACAGCGTTCTAAAGTGAGTGCTATGGCTCGGAGCGTGAATGGATCATGGCGAATAATAAAATAACATCAACATCATAATAGGTCATCCCAAAAGTTTTTTTTCAAACAAACGCCACATCCCGTGGAACAAAGATTCATAGAAGATATTGGTACTATTGGATGCATTTTTGCATGCTTTTTCAAGGTGATTCAAATTGCATTTCTTCAACGAGCTTCCACGATATCGCTAAAAAAACTATGACCCATGGTCTTTGCCATGATCAAGTTTCGCCACTTTTCCACTATATTTAGACTTTTCAAGAAAGTCCAGGTTACTTTTGGATAGAGCAATCCCTACGTGACACAAAACAGTCTTTACTTTCCGCAGCTTGCTTTTCATGATTATATTAATCATCTTTGAAGCTACCGAATATATTTGGCCAACTCGAACCTTACAGAACATCAATCGGCGAGCAACTCTGATGTCGTTCAATGCAGCTTTGCTCCTCTTAAAACACATTTTTTGTTCCCTTCGTAAAGTCTGTGGATTAAATCAACATAATTCTTGTTTTGAGTGTACCTCACGCCGTATTCGAAAAATTCGAAATTATTTCTGACCCGTAGGGTTGAGCCCGGACGAGATGACCAAACATCACAGGGTGCGCCACAATTTTTGCGCGTGTTTCATTGAGCGTCATACATACAAGACCGGCTCAGCCAGCGGTCAAGCTTGATATTTTCTTGGTTCAATAATATCATAGGTTAGTTGGAAAATGGGAAATTGCCTGTTCTGCTTTTCGGTAAAAATTCATAACATTTCTTTGGCTTTGTCGCGTGCTGCACGCGGGTAGAGGCTCAAATTTGCCCAGCATGTATCTTTATAGTGACCGCTTCTCTCAGGTAAAGATTTCGCTGTATAATAGAGCTAGTTTTAGACTTTAAGATCACTGAGGTTTGGAATCTTTAGAAGCATTCAAAACAATTATTTTGACTATTGAATAATTTACAGGGTGCGTCAAAAATCTGGGAGCCTAGCTTTCTCGTACAAAATGAGAAGGGAAGTACCTAAAAACGAAAAATTTGGCGCACACATAATTCGAACCATTGCAGATATAGCCCAGTTCTTGAATTGCAAAATTGCCTCTTTTGGCTTCCACGCGGCCCTACAAAATCTTGGCAAATCCACCTATCATGACACGCAGGTAGTCGTGATGAAATTTTCCCACGCCTTCACAATGACTGCTTCTTTTACCTTTACAACTGTGCAGCACGATAGAGCAGACTTTCATCTACAACATACTTCCAAAAGAATTTTTTGCATTGCTTAAGAATAAAAATATTGGATTTTTGATTAGAAGCATGTGTACGACGCATACCGGAATTTTG